TTTCCCACGCCCCTTCTGCTTGCCTGTTGAAGCCGCACGCGAGCGCCAGGCTCCCAGCGCACACTGAGTCAGCACCCTGGAGAGCTGCCCCGCCCCTCCCTGACCAGTGAGGTCAGCACAGATGCTGCCCCGACACCCCCCCACCCCCCACCCCCGCCCAGGAGGAGTGGCAACTGCAGCCACTGGGCAAAGGTCCCAAGAGCTGAGTTAAAGTAACAGCCCTGAAGGCTGTGGAAAGCTCCAGAACCCAAGAAGCGCAGGGAACAGGATTCCAAAGAGCATGTTTGCCGACAAAATCTCACCGTTGGGGGACGCCCAGGGGGCTCAGATTCGGTTTTCTGCGGTTTGAGTGTTGAGCAGTTGAGCGTCTGCCTTCAGCTCGGGGCATGATCCCAGGTCCTGGGTTAGAGTCCCAGGTCGGGCTTCCTGCGAGGAGCCCGCTTCTCCCTCCCTCTGCTTGTGTCTCTGCCTCTCTCTGTGTCTCTTGTGAATAAAGAAATAAAATCTTAAATAAATAAATAAACTGACATTATTTTTATTTTTTTAAAATCTCACCGTGGGCACTCATATGGGTGTGGCATCATTTGGCGTGTATTAGCAATTCGCTTAGCAGACACCAAATTACAATCTTCCTAAAGGGCTGCCATTGCAAGACTTGAGGGACCCGTCACTTCCTATGTTCCTCTGGAGCCATCATTCCAGAAGCTCCGATATTACATCACTGAGAGCTCCAGACTCAAAGGAATGGCCAAGGGTATGATTGAAGGTGCTTCTGTCTTAAGATCCAAATTAGACCAACCCTCAGGATCCTATAAGGCTCTCCTCCTAACCGGGCGCTGAGCTCAGAATAAATTTTCTGCATCGCTTGTTTGGGAGAAAAGCACCTGCATTGCCTGACAGAGCCTCAGAGAGGGGCCCAGCCCAGAGAACAGCTCATCAGCCCCTAATCAGGACCCCTAGTCTCTGGCCTCTCTCCAACCCACTAGTTCTCAACAGCAGGGGGGGAAATGGATCACTGGGGAGTTAAAATGCAAATTTGGGGACCCCACCAGAATGATTCTGACCTAGAGTGGAACCAGGAATCACTCGCCCAGCCCTAGGTGATTCTGCTACACCTGAAGCACTCCATGGCGTGTGAGACTGTGGGCCACTGGCTGCTCAGATACTGTCAGGGGTCTGGAGACACCACAGAGAGTTCACCACATGCAGCAAACATCTGGCCCTCCCTGAATGACCCACTTGCCCAGCTACCCACTGTCCTTAGCCACACAGGTGACCTCCCACAACCCCTGCCATCTTCCCATTGATTATCAGAAGGCAAGGGCATGTGGTTGAATCCAGCCTCCCTCCTGGAAAATTGAAAGCAGATGAACATGTTTCCACTGGGCTTTTTGTGCCCTTTTAGGAAGAGCAAACAAAAGGTAGTCTCCGACACGGAAATGGCCCACATTTGCTGGTGTCAGCCTGGGAGATGGGAGCCTCTGTGTCTGACCTCTGGAGTGGAGAGGACTTTTCTTCTGGAGCAGTGGCGAGTGAACATTACTGGTGCCCTCAAGTTGCTGTGCCTTAATCTCTGCTCCCTGTCACAAAGCTGGGGAGGGATGTTCCTGGCACCCCGGCACTTCACTGATCTGTAGGAACTCTGTTACGAGTGATGTCTCTTGTATAGAAACGTCGATGCCATGGTCCACCCATGGATGGGTTAAGTTGGTTTTTCATGGGCTGGCCTAGGAACCTACCTATGGTGCATGACACAGTTGCGCTGGGAAAGTGCATTCTCAACTCTTCAACTCCTCATCATCTAATTGGCAAGCAAACTCAGGGAATATCATCGGCTTATGACTCAGCCTTTGAATGTTTCCAAGAAGGCTGGGGGCAAACCCAGGCCTGGTTCCAGAGGCCTGGCATGAATGCATCAATAGAGACCTCAAGCAGATCCTCATTGAAAGACCCAGGCACCTTCATCCCCCAGGCTGATGGTCAGCTTGTGCCAGGCTCCTGGTGGGCTCTGGGTCTAAGGCCCATGAATGACTGGCCTGTGAGTGCTGCCTGTGGCTATGACCTCTCCTGCAGCGGGGTCCAATTGTCCTACCTACCAACCAGGAAGCCAAAAGCTTCAATGCAGTGCTGTGGCCTGGAAGACAGAAAAGCCATTTTCTTCAACTGTAAGAATGTTACTTTTATTTTCACTGAGGTGATCCAGTGAGCCATAAGGCACTTTACTGGAAGATATTTGCAGATGAAAAAGCCGCCAGGGAGAGCCTGCTCTGGGTTATTTTCAACCCTGCCACAGATTAAGTCCAACTCTGCAAGGTTACTCCACAGACACTGAGAAGTGACCCGGCCAACCCACTGTCCTCCATTTTTGTGTGTTCACAGCCCAAATAATTTTAAGAAGCATTTAGTGAATGGGGTGCCTGTATGGCTCAGTCAGTAAAGCGTCCAACTCTTGGTTTTGGCTCAGGTCATGATCTCACGGTCATGGTCTCACGGTTGTGAGATGGAGCCTGGAGTCAGGCTCCGTGCTCAGCGGAGTCTGCTTGAGATTCTTTACCCACTCTGCTCCTCCCCTGTTCTCTCTCTCTAAAATAAATAAAATCTTTAAAAAAAATTATTTATTTATTCATGAGAGACACACACACAGAGAGAGAGGCAGAGACACAGGCAGAGGGAGAAGCAGGCTCCATGCAGGGAGCCCGATGTGAGACCCGATCCCTCCTCTCCAGGATCAAGCCCTGGGCCAAAGGCAGTGCTAAACCACTGAGCCACCCGGGCTGCCCACAAATAAAATCTTAAAAAACAAAAAACAAAAAACAAAACTTAGTAACCAGATGCAATGTACCTTATTCTAATTTAGTTTATATGTTTGATGTTTATATCTCTTTGAGGACACATACCAAAAAAACAAAACAACTCTTCATTTTTTCATTGGGGCGCAGGACTGGAATGTGAATCAAAAGTATAAGAATTGAGGGGCACCCGGCTGGCACAGTCTAGTAAAGCATGAGACTCTTGATTTTGAGGTTCTGAGTTTGAACCCCGCATTAAGCATAGAGCTTACTTTTAAAAAAAAAAAGCAAAAGGGGGATCCCTGGGTGGCTCAGTGGCTTACCGCCTGCCTTCGGCCCAGGGTGTGATCCCAGGGTCCCAGGATCAAGTCCCTCATCAGGCTCCCTGCATAGAGCTTGCTTCTCCCTCTGCCTGTGTCTCTGCCTCTCTCTCTCTCTCTGTGTGTGTCTCTCGTGAATAAATAAAATCTTAAAAAAAATTAAAAAAAATTTTTTAAAGTGTAAGAATTGAGAATAAAGTTTAAGTTTCAACAGAAAATTCTGTGGAATTGCAAAATATCAGTATCTCCAGATGGGAGGCAGTAGGATATTGTACCCTTAGAGGCATAAGTTTGGGAACTTGTATGCCCTGGAGGGCTGAATTAACAGTTCCATCCGACTATTCTGGGACCTCCCACAATAATACATAAACAAGCAGAATCTTGAATGAACAACTGTGGCCCCTTTAAACTCAACATATAGGGGCACCTGGGTGGCTCAGCCGTTGAGTGTCTGCTTTTGGCTCAGGGTGTGATCCTGGAGTTCCAGGATCGAGTCCCGCGTCGGGCTCCCTGCGAGGAGCCTGCTTCTCCCTCTGCCTGTGTCTCTGCTTCTCTGTGTCTCTCATGAATAAATAAAATCTTTTAAAAATAAACAAACTCGGGATGCCTGGGTGGCTCAGTGGTTGAGTATCTGCCTTTGGCCCAGGGCATGATCTGGAGTCCTGGGATCGAGTCCCGCATCGGGCTCCCTGCATGGAGCCTGCTTCTCCCTCTGCCTCTTTCTCTGTGTCTCTCATGAATAAATAAATAAAATCTTTAAAAAAATAAAAATAAACAAACTCAACATACATCTTCAAGAGGACTGGAACACAGATTCCTCGTGAAAGCCACAAAATAAAAAGGTACAAAGAAAGCTACTTGAGATCCACTATAAGACTCTTTTTTTGGTTGATGTAACCCCTGGTTTAACAGGTTGAACGTATAGTAGGGAGTCCAGCAGCCCAACCAGCTTTTAACAGGCAAAATCAGGCTGTGAGAGTCCACGGAGCAGATAGCAACTCCTAAGGACATCATCTACTTTTTTTTTTTTTTTTTAATATTTATTTATTTAAGATAGAGAACATGAGCAGGGGCAGGGGTGGGAGGAGTCGAAGGAGAGGAAGAGAGAATCTGAAGCAGACTCCGAACTGAGCTACTGAGCAGAGCCCCACGTGGGAATTGGGTTCACAATCCTGAGATCAAGATCGGAGCCAAAAGCAAGAGTTGGGTGCTGAACCAACTGCGCCAAGCAGGCGCCCCTCATCTACTCTTCTGGTGGTGCCTGACCCAGGGATCATGCTCTAAACCACTTCAGACAAAGCCAGAGAGTAGCTGGGACTAACACCTGACATGAACCCCTGAGGTATGAGGTGCATCTTCCTTACAATTCCCCTTTCTTCTCATATTAAGCACCAGCAGTACGTTCAAATCAAACCACCCCTCCCTCCCTCTGCTCATTCCGGAGGCAGCCGCAGAAGAGAGCTGTGATTTCCCAATAGTGTCCCGAGCCAAAATGCATGAGGACACATAAGGGGCAGATCCAGACTTGCTGGCCCCACAGAGATTACACAAAGCTTGGCCCAAAACATGGAATAATGCGAGCATGTACGAGGTGCTGAACATTCCATCCGCGGCCTGCATGTCAGATGCATGCTTGCATTCCCACAGGTCTGGCGCCAGGCCCGCTCTCTGGGCCTTCAGTTAAAGTTTCTGGGCCACGGAGAAGACACACACCAACAGCCCAATTTGACTCTTGAGCCTTTTGAGGACAAGATCGCTGTTATCCCAAACCTCCTGCATCTGGGCTTTTCTGTGTGCAGTAAATTATATACTATTCCACAAGGTTCACACACACACACACACACACACACACACACACCCATCAACACAGTAAGTCGAGATAAACCACAACTCCCATAAACAGGAACTTTATTAAGCTACATGTTACATAAAAGAACATATAAATGGACCTTTAAATACATTCAGTTCATCTTAAACAACTTATATAGAAACTTATTTACATTTCTCCATTATATACTTAAATTATTTTTCAAAGCTTACTACCGATAAAAGGTAATAGAATGATCACCTGCTCATACAGATGCATACACAGAAGCTCCACAAGGGTAAGTAAAACCCCGCTTCTCAAGAAACTCAGCTTATTAGGTTTCAAAGCAACAATGTTCTGAAGGTGCTTCCTTCTGAGCAGGCCTTTGACATGAGGCCTCTGCTATGGAGGTGCTGGCGGTCAGTTCGGAGAAGCTGGTCCTGGGGTAGATGGGTCCTTGGTTGTCTGTAGTAACTTGGACTCTTGGAGCTAGAGGAACCTCTAGAAACCATCACTGAGGCCATGTTCCCACTTCTCTGGCTGGGAAGCAGAGGCTTAGGGAGAGGGAGAGATTTGCCAAAGTCACACAGCATTAGCAACAGAACAGGGACTGGGACCCCAGTTGCCAGGATCCTACCTGGAGGTCCTGACCCCACCACTATCCACAATTCTTTTTTTTTTTTTTAATTTTAGGGAGGAGGGGGAAAGAGTGCACATTAGTCGGGGGAGGGGCAGGAGAACCCCAAACAGATTCCGTGCTAAGCTAGGAGCCTAACACAGGCCTCAATCCCATGACCCTGAGATCATGACCGGAGCCAAAATCATGAGTCGGATGCTTAACCGACCAGGCCATCCAGGCACCCCACTATCCACCAACTTTTGACCTCTTTCATCCATTTCCAGCCACCCATGGGCCCTATGTTTTGAACGTTGTTGTCTGCGTGGTTAAATATATGATTTCTTAGACTTTTTGAGATGATGAGAAGCAGTGCAGGATTTCCATAACCATTTTTGTGGGGCCAAGGAAATATCTACTCAAGGCCATTTTTATAAGGTTTTGTGATCAGGTGCCTTACTTATTTAGCCATAAAGCTTACCGTTTCAATCTAGCTGACTTATGGAAGCTCAAAGTTTCCAATTAATTTGGATGGAAGGCAATATTCTTGAGGAGGAAGACTGGAACATCAACCACATGGATTTGCTGAAATCCATCTACCACCGTTGGATCTAAAGTAAGGATTCACTAAGGTTTCACTAAGTGACCAAAAGTGGAAAAGGGCAGGGCGTAACTTTAAATAACAAGAAAGTTTCAAGAATCCCCTCATTTCCTAATTAGTCTCAAAAGGAAGTAGTGAAATGGGCAGTGAGTAGAAACAGTAAATGTTTTTTTTCTCTCCTTTCTTTTGAATAAAGCCTCCCCCCCCCAAAAAAAAATGTCCAGATAATATAATTTCTCCTAAAAGCAGTTTTTCTTCTGTTTTTGGTCTGTTTTTAAAAACTTGGTTTGGTTTTTCTCAGGATTTAAAAACCACTGTATCAAAGAAGAGATGTCAACATTAACAAGTATCATCCGGGACGCAGATCTACACTCTCCAGGCTCCAGGTGGGGTTGGCAAGAGAAGGGAGGGCTGGCTGCAGGCAGAGAGGAGGGAGGGAGAGGACAGGGACGGAAGGGTTCATTCTTCCCCGTAACGAGAGTGAACCCAAGTCTTAGCAGCCTTCACTCAGTTTTAGGACAGATACATAAATGGGAAAACACGAAGGGGAAGACGTGCTCCGCTCAGGAGCCCCTGATGCCTTTTCATTAAAATATGGATTTGTAAGTCCAGGAAGACCCCGCATCCTGCAGGAAGGCACTGCCCACCGCAGCCGCCCTGAACGCACGGGAGCACCCCATCTCCATGCAACCCTCACCCCAAGTCACACCAGCTGAGTGAGGCCGAGCGCCTTCAGGGAGGCGGCGCCAACCCCGACAGCCGGGGCTTGCGGAGAGTCCAGTTGGCAGCAGTGGGCGGCGTGCGGGACGTGGAACCCCGAGGCCCGGGAACGCGGGAGAATCAGGTCTTCATATTAAGGGTTTTGTCTTTTTTTGTTTGTTTTTCCCCCTGGGAGGCATTGCATTCTGCAAAAGGAACTAAAATACTTTTGCGATATTAAAAAATAAGTTGGACATAGAAAAACTGGCCGAGATTTTCTTTCCTTTCTACTCAGTGGGTAAGAACCGCATCTCCCCGGTGCATGCCAGTGGGGTCCCTGCTCTGGGAGGGGCCTCCGCGGCTGCACCCTCAGCGACAGGGGCGCCGACAGGGGCGCCGGGGCCGGTCCTCCCGCGCCGTCACTTGTCACTTCCGCAAGGGCTCGAGCATCCTCCCCAGCGCGGTCCGCTCCGAGGGCTTCAGCCGCAGGGAGGCGCGGTCCCCGGGTGCCCGCGCCCTCGGAGGGGCCTCCGCCCCCGCCCCCGGCCCCGCCGCCTCCGGCCACCTCCTGGGGGCCCGGGCGCTGCTGGCCCGCCGCAGGGCGCCGCCGCCGCCGCCGCCGTCCCTGGGGGCCGCATCCTCGGGGCCGCCCTTCGGCCTCGGCTGCCGCTGGGACGCCGCCCGGGGTACGCCGGGCGCTCTGGCCCCGGGCGGGGGGTCCGCGCGCAGCGAGCGGGACGAGGAGGCCACCGTGTTGCGGGCGAAGCTGGGCACGGGGGGCGGGGCGCGGGGCGCGCTGGGGGCCGGCGGGGCCGGGGGCTCCTCCTCGGGGCTGTCGGGGCCCTGCGGGCCGGAGCGGCAGATCTTGTTCTCCTCGGGCTTCTGTCTGGGGACGTTCCGCAGGGGCTTGGCGCTGGGCTTCTTGAGCGAGCCCCGCGGCTGCAGGGGGGGCTCCTTCCCCGCCCCCGCCGAGCCCCGCCGCGGAGACTCGTCCGAGGGCCCCCGGCCGCCGGGCGCCTCCCGCGGGGGCCGCTTCCAGCCCGCGGGGCCGGGGGCGCGGCCGGCCCTGGAGATGGGCACGACCTTGCGCATGCTCTCGCTCTCCGAGGCCGTGAGGGTGCGCACGGCCTTGGGGGCCGCCGGCTGGCTGCGCCGGGCAGGGCTGGCCTTGGGGGCGCCCTGGGGCGCTTCTTTGACCGAGCTTCTCCTGGCGGCCGCCGCATCCTTCCCCTTGGCGGGCCTGTCCCCGGGAAGGCTGTCCCTGCGGGCGGGGGGGCTCTCCTCGGACCCTGGAGCAGAGGCCTCCCCGACGGGGCTGGAGGTGGGGTGAGAGGAGACCTGGCTGCCTGGCTCCCCGGCCCCCGAGGACAGGGAGCCATCGCCCCCGCCCGCCTCCCCCGGCTCCGAGCAGTCCAGGGTCAGCGAGCAGTCGGTGGCATCGGAGATGTAGAACAGAAGCCCCGGGTCTTTGCTCTCAGGGTCGCTGCTGCCCACAGATACTAGAGCCTTGCCACTGGGTTCGTCAGGGGCAGCCGGGCCCCCCTCCAGGGCTGGGCTGAGACCGCCTGGGGCACCTGTGCCCACAGGCGTCAGGCCGCTGTGGCTGGCACTGAGCGACGGCTCGCTCCCATCCCCCGGAGACACGGGCACCCTGGAGCTGAGGTCATTCGCGGTCAACCTGGGCACCTCCTCTGGGCCCTTGGGTCCCTGAAGGTCGAACTGAGCCAGCCCTGTCACCAGCTCGTGCTCCTTAATCCCCAGAGCCAACGGCGAGAGCGGAGGGGACCGGGCCGGGCCCAGGCCCACGGGCTCACTATTCCTCTTTCGAAGGATGCTCACCCCACTGCGCCGAACTCGGGGGAAGGCGGGCGTAGGGTCCTCAGGCCGGAGGGCGGACAGCTGGCTCTGGCAAGATGATGAGGGCGGCTCGGGGTCCTCCTTTCGGCCCCCCGAGGCCTGAGGTGTATGTGCCTGGCCGGGGTCCTGGGCCTTCGGGTCCCCAGCCTTCGGGTCCATCCAGGCCAGCGTGGGCCGGGCCTGCCGAGGACTGTTCCGGGGCAAGCTGTTGAACTTGCTGGGCTCCTCGGGGCTGCCGGTGGAACTTTCCAGGAAGGTCAGCAGCTCCCGGTCAGCAAAAGCACCCAGGGAAAGGCGGGAGCGGCGGGTGTTAGGAGGTCGGTAGGAGGGGCTGACGGGCCTGGGTTGCAGGAAGGGGGGCAGGTCCTCCGTGCCCTTCTTGGTCAGCTGTTCCACGTCATTCTCACTGCTGCTCCGGCAAAATCCCCCAAGCTCCCCAGCCGCCCAGGAGCGACGCTTCTGTTCCAGCTCCTTCAGGCGCTGCAGCCGCCTCAGCTCCTGCACAGCCCGGTCGTGGTTGTCCTGAGGGAGGGGTGGAGAGAAGCCCAAAGACACATGAGACACAAGGGACCTGCGTGCAATTCCACAGCCACCTGCCTTAAGACCCAGCGAGAGTTACGTGCATGGAGGGCACCTGGCTCCTAAGCGTCACCAAGAGAGATGCTGTGGGTTTGCAGGCAGGAGGGTGTGGCGAGGGCTAGTTCTCCCCAAGCTGGCTGCGGACGCCACCAGCCCGTCTACGGCTATCATCAGATCCCTGGGCCCAATTTCCAGCTTGGCAGCCAAGGCACTGTGATTCCACACATGCCTGCCCCTCGACTCCGAAGGAACCCAGCATGGCTTCTAAGCGAGCAAGACAGAAAGGACTTCCGGGAAAGGGCTACCGAATCAATGGCAGAGAGAAAACAGGAGCCTGAGATCATACCTCCCAGCTGCATCTGTGCGGAGGACGCCTACACAGGTGCACGCACGTGCAGCACATTGTGCTTAACCACGATCTGAATGCATCAAAGTACACCCAGGCTACTAAGAGATGCCTTTCAAATCTGTGCTCTGAACACTCCCTGGTAAGGCAACACCAGAGGTGCCAGGGTGGCTCTGCCCTCATGCCCCACCCCCTTCCTACAACCAGACAAGAGGATCTGCTTTACAAAGCCTTCCACCACCCTCCACCCTGCTCCAAGTGCCCAGCCCTGCCCCAACAAAACCAAACCAGAACAAATGCACATCGTAAAGCACACTTCACCACCCGGCTGTGCACTTTAACTATATTTGTGGGGCGCCTCGAGTGGCTCAGTTAAGCGTTGGCCTTTGGCTCAGGTCATGATCTCAGGGTCTTGGGATCGAGCCCCACATCGGGCTCCCCACTCGGCAGTAAGTCTGCTTCTCTTTCTCCCTCTGCCCTTCCCCCTGCTCGTGCTTTCCCTTACATAAAGAAGTAAAACATATTTTATAAAATACATATTTGTCAGGCAGCCCAGGTGGCTCAGCGATTTAGCACCGCCTTCAGCCCTGGATGTGATCCTGGAGACTGGGGATCGAGTCCCACATCTGGCTCCCTGCATGGAGCCTGCCTCTCCCTCTGCCTGTGTCTCTCATGAATAAATAAATAAAATCTTAAAAAAATATATAGATGTCTCCTAGATGTGTGGCTCTCCCAACCCAAATCTGTCATTGACAGCACTTTTTACTTGAAAGTCAATTTTCTCAAATGGTGGATTTCCCTTCCATGTTTCTGTGAGGCTCTGGCTGGGGATGCGTGGCCCCTCCTGCAGTTCTGGCCAGGCCTCTCCAGTGTCCCAGGTCCCCCCAGGCCCTCTCCTCCAAGGCTGCCTGGAGTCGGGGCGGGGCCAGCTCCTGGTGCTCAGGACAGGTGGGTGAGAGAACCACACAGGTGGCCCCTTGGGCCTGCAGCATTCTGACAGGGACTAAGAACCTCAGAAAGAGCCAATTTGGCCTCCACCACCCACTATCACCTCCCACTGCTGAGCTCACTGCTTGGACAAGGGAGAGGAAACGTGGCCACAGGCTTAGCCTCCTTCTCTCAGCGGGAGAGAGAAGGAGGGGTTGAGAACTCAAGTCACTCTGGCCTACTCAGGGCTGGAGGGAAATCAGTCCCTCAAAGGAATTCAGCTGCGGACAAACCTGCATTTAAATACAGGGAGAGGTCTAACGCCCAAGCATTTAGTTCCTCATCACGGTCTGAAGTGGAGGGATGTTGTTTTTGTTTTTAACTGATAGATGGAAGTTGCAATTGCAAAGCCAAGCAACCCAGCCTCCTCTGGCTCCTCTACTGAACTCAGAGATTACTGGAACCGGATGCTGAGGGCAAGGAACGCAGCGGTACTGCTCAGACAGCAGCAGACTCCTGACTACTTGAGAATTTCGAAGCCGGCTCTGGCCAACCATCTGGCAATGGCCATGGTGCCTGAAACAGGGGAGAGGAGGCCCTCCGATCCTCCCACCGCGAGCAAGCATTCCCTAGGAGAGCACGTTCTTTCCCGGGGAGAGGGGGCGAGGAAGACACCCAGGACCTTCGAAGGAATGTGTGTCAGGGCTGCCCCATAAATGACCTTTCCGGGCCAGTGCTGCCAGGCCATCGGAGCAAGTGGCAGTGGCAGCGGCCTGGCGGCCGAGGAGGCCAGGGCTGGGCTCCGGCGATGGAGGCGCCCGGGCCTGGGGTGCCAGGGCCGCTTGCCTGGAGCCTGGTGGCGGCTGCTGCCCGCACCACTCTCCTGACACCCTGGAAACGCTGAACCATCTTTCCGCCAAGGGCAGCGGGCTGGGTCTGGAAGAGGGAAAATAAAAATCCACCCAGCGCGGGGAGCACGGCCACGCCGGCAGCCATACCTTAACTGCTTTGTTGAATTTGACACAGAAGTCTCGAAAGATCTGAAGGCACTCGTCCAGTTTCATGGTTTCTTGGTCTTCGCAGAAGAAATCCATAAGGGTGTGGGCCTCGTCCTGGAGCTCCTGCTTCCAGTGCTCTAGTTCCGTCAGCTTTTCCAAGGCAAACTGCGGGAAAACAGAACAGCACACGCTGGAGCCAACGGCAGCCGAGGCGGCGTCTGCGCCCGCCGGAGCCCGTGCCCCTGGGTTCAACTCCGGGCTTCGGCAAACGGAAGGCTTATGGCAAGTCCAGCGCCCTCAGAGCCAAAAGGAAAATGTTTATTAATAAAAAAATGTTTACTTATAAAACATATATACAAATATAAATATACAAATATAAATGTTTATTATAAATAAATAATGAGTCTTATAATGGCCAAGGGTTGACTTCAGGGTGTCAGAAGTCCCTTGTACTGATGGGTTGTCTTGTAGAGAGGGGGTTTGTTTATTTATTTATTTATGTACTTGCTTATTTTAAGATTTTATTTATTCATGAGAGACACAGAGAGAGAGAGGCAGAGACACAGGCAGAGGGAGAAGCGGGTTCCCCATGGGGAGCCCAATGCAGGACTCAATCCCGGGACCTGAGGATCACAACCTGAGCTGAAGGCAGATGCTCAACCACTGAGCCACCCAGGTGCCTGAAAGGGAGTTTAAACCTAATCTCAAATGATCTGTATTAGGGTCAGTATCACCTCCACGGACCGGAGGCCCCCTTGCCCAGACAAACTCCCCAGTCAAGGCTTCTTAACCGTGGTGTTTATTCCAGTTAGCTCAGAAGCACAGTCGACAGTCCATGCTTGCACCCCACCCATTCGATTCAGGACTTCTGCTGTGTTAACTACCACTAACATTTTGTTACAACTCCCCAGGAGATTCTGAAGAGTCTTCATGGTTAATAACCACTGCCCTACACAAACCCATCCTCTTCACATCTTCACTTTCTCCTAATCCTTCCAGAACAGTCTCCGGTGCCTCCAGATTCTGGCATCAGGGGTGCCTGGGTGGCCCAGGTCACGATCCTGGGGTCCTGGGATCGAACCCTGCATTGGGCTCCCCGCTCAGCAGGATGTCTGCCTCTCCCTCTGTGTCTCCCCCTGCTCATGCTCTCTAGTAAATAAAATCTTAAAAAAAATAGATTCAGGTACCGCCACCACGATGAAGGATAAATGAAAGAAGTTTGCTTTCCTCCAGTGAGCGCCCAGCCCAGCATTTTTCAGGATGCGGATCTATCAGGAGCACAAGCACCCTTCCCTGACAGCAGCGCGTGACATTTACGCTGAAAGGAGGTAGCAGCTCCTTAGAGGAGCCACAGCCCCAAGGGGACTGAATATTTGGGATTACACTCACGTCTTTCTGTTTTACTGGGCAACAAGGCTTACGTGAAGAAGGAACGCACGAGGCATATTACTTTATAAATCACACTTCCCATGTTCTTAAAAAGTCTTATATTTGAGAAACTTCCTTTGAGTGGAGGGGCAGGTGTCGGAAATGTGAAGATACAAACTGCCCACCCTCAAGGAGTGGAACTGCTGCTAAGCCATACTTGAAGAGTGAAGAGCAATTCTGAGACGACTCATCACCTCCCACCCACCCCAACACATTTTCCCCCTTAAAAGTCCTTTTCTTACACCAAATACATTCAAGAGGTAGTAAGAAACCCAAACCACTGAGGAAACTGAATACCAGAGAAAGTAACCATCTGAGTCAGTAGCCCAAGGCAGTGCGTGCATTCATGCTCTATTATTCTTTACGGAGAGAAGGGTATTAATGAAAGGATAAATCTTTGCCTGTCATTCTTCCACAGGGGGAAAAGGTGGATTCCAGCCAAAAATAACTCAACTGCAGAAAAATAGGACTCTTGACAAGAATCTACATGGGAGCTTAAGCTCCGCCTCCTGTGGCTCATCACTAGATCCGGTGGGGAAAGAGAGAGAACCAGGAAGGAAAAACTCACACGCACTGCTGTTGCCCTTAGGACTTGGGAAAGAGAAACATTCCGAATATGTGTGTGAACAATCACCAAGCTCAGACGGTTTTTTTGGCCGAGAGTTAGTTTTCTACACAGTCTCCTGACTGTGTCCCAAACTACACTGGCCAAGTGTGATCGACAAGAGATGAGCAGTTGTCCTACCAAATTCAACTTTCTAACTTGCCTGCTCCAGACCCACGTTCCAAACCAATTTATTCGTTGCTTCTTGCCCAGAGGGTCAAAACCCTGAAACAGATTTGCAAAACTGTGTCCTTATCTTTTTTTTTCTGTTCAAGAAACTTCAATGTTTCCCCATTGGCTAAGAGCACAAAAAGTTCAAAATTTTCAGATTGGCGTTCAGAGCCCTGCATGTACTGACCCTACCCTACCTTACAAAATTATACCTCTTCCCTCCATTTTAAAAGCAATTGAACATAAAAAAAGAAAAATAGTGTGTGGGAACATTCTATTTATACAGATACAAATGAGTACTAGAAAGAAGCATTTAGAGTTAAAACAAGGTTGCCTTTAAAGAGCAGTCCAGAGGTGCAGCTGAGACAGAGCTGTTTTTCATCACAAGCCTTTCTGTACTACTACGTAGCATAAAATATTAACGTTTCATTTAGGAGCCAGGGAAGGAGACATCCAGAATTCTCAGCTCACTGTGGGATGTGCCTTCTCCCTCAGTTTCTGACTTCCCTCATTTGTTGGCATGTGCTAACTGCTGCGTACTTTCTTACCTACTGCTAGGTACTTTCTCTCAAAGTGAGAGAAATCTATGCATTTTAAAGAGAATATTTGGGCAGCCCAGGTGGCTCAGCAGTTTAGCACTGTCTTCAACCCAGGGCGTGATCCTGGAGACCCAGGATCGAGTCCCACGTTCAGCCCCCTGCATAGAGCCTGCTTCTCCCTCTGCTTGTGTCTCTGCCTCTCTCTCTGTGTTTCTCATGAATGAATAAATAAAATCTTTAAAAAAAAATAAAGAGAATATTTGTTTGGTTATATTTGAAAGAAAATACAGAACACATGTTTAATAATAAAAATAAACTTCCAGCAGAGCCAAATGAAATGTTTGCTGATGGGAGCTGAACCTTACAATTTTTGCGGTAGCTTAATTACAGTAAAACAAGCAAGAGCTTAGGTTGGTACAACATCTGGAGCACACTGTTCCTGGCACCAAGAGCAGCCCTTCCATGCAAACTCCACCTTGCAAGGCTCCAAGCACTGATATTTAAGGTAGCACACCACTTCCCTAAGATTGAAGGCATGAAAAACCGCCACTTTTTTTTTTTTAAAATAAGGAAGATAAAAGAAGTATGTCAGACTATGTGATTAGTGAGTCACAGTGAGCTGTCACAAACATGTCCACTCTGCTGGTTTTTGTTGATGTTATTCAGAGCAGCTCCTGACACACCCTGTGGAGCTGATGTATTTGGCGTGTTGATAGGCACAGCTATCATGTGTGCTCCCGCTCTCATTATAAAACATGCCAAAACGGAGCTTGTTTCTTCAATAAAAACAAGTGAAGGAACAACAGCCCAAGTTCTCAGGTGTCTACGGTTTCTGTAGAACTTTGTTCTGTTGTCCAGAAGTTTGATTAGGAGGCAGAAACTCCCACGTGAGTTGCCGGGCACAAGCTGCCAAGTGCTAGCGAGGTATGCTGATACCAATGCACTATGGCGTGCGTGGTGTGATGATGTAAATCAGGCGGGATAAACGGAGGCCAGCCCGCAACCAACGCCTTAGGTTCAAAGCACATTCAACATCCCCTGCTAGGAAACCAACCCAGCAAAGGATGGGCACTGAAATACGAAGTTCCTTTTACTGACTCAGGGGGGGAAAATAGGAATGGGAACCTGCTACTTCCCCAAAGCCGTGCAGACAGATTTTACCAGCCCCGGCAGGTGCTGCTGAAAGCCAGATGGAGACAGGTGGACTCGAATCACCCACAAACCTGAAGGAAATCTTCCATCTGCTGACAAAGTTCACCATCCCGCTGAATGTTTTCCCTCAGAGATCTGGTCCTGATAAAGAGCGAGTGCAGCTCGGCCTCTGTGTTATCCAGAGATAATCTGAAAGAAGAAAGGGGAGAGTGGGCAGTTGCCACAGGGAAGCCATGTGTCATGGGACAGTAAACAAGACCAACTGCTGGTCAAACCTAGAAGCAGAGGGCAGAGGGGTCACGATGACATTTACCACTCCTGTATTTAGAGTTTCCGCCTGTTTTTTTAAGAGTCCATTTCTTCCTCGAGACACATTTGTTCAAAGACAGAAGGCTATAACTTTGTCCTTGTTGGTGAGATAACAAAACCATGAGACTCGTAGAGCTGTTCATAAAGGCGGTCTGAACACCTTTATGCAAGCAGCATAAAAAAACAGAAACAGGACTCAGATACTTCCACTTTTCTCTGGCACAAATACAAAAAGCTCCGACTCAAGCCCAGTAAGGCAGTGTACACATCAAGGGCAACAAGGAGATACTAAACAGATGTCATGTTGCCACCGACAGCCAGAGTGACCCTGGGTATTTCAGAGAGAACTAACAGGTGGCTAACAATTCTGCAAAGAAATGGCGGGACTGATTGCAAAGCTTTTGTTACTTCTGTCAAATCAGGACTAGGAGAGCACGAGCGATGTTTCTGCCATCTGGTAAAGTGAACAGGTGAAACGTAAAATCCAGGTGGAATTCACTTAGCAAACTCACAAACTAGGATGCTTTCATACTTCCATTGTGAATTCTAACTTTTCTTTATGCAATAGTACCCCACCTTCATTGGCCACTGGCACCCATCTATGATCTGTTTGTACTTCACCAATGTACTTCACCTTCCATTTCAAATAAACAAACTTTACAAAGTTTTTTCTAAGACAGTATCTAGCTAAACTTCCCCATCTAACTCTTATCAGAAGTGTCAGCTCAAAAATATAAAGGTTGTTTCTCTATATATATACCTCTTAGTAACATTTCTATACTAGTTGGAGGAAAAAATATTCCTGCACAAATTTCTTTTAAAAATTTAAAACCAGAATAGCTTATATCTTATAAATGATGCTCATTCACTGGGGTTAGGGGGGGTAATCTGAAAATCTGTAAACATGAACTATGAGCTATTCACAACTTTGGACTGATAATGTCACTTTGGGAAAGACATGTCATCTGTGCCTAGATGCTCACAGTCAATAATACTGAGACACTGGCCTATGACGGGGCTTAGCTTGAAAGAAAAGCTATCGTTCATGTATCTATGCACAGGGTTCACAGCTATCCTAACTGGATATAGTCACTCAGAGAGCAAATGTACAACTTGAAGTGGTGCATCGCAGCCAGTTCGCAAGAGGCCACCGTGGGTGTGGGTGCCTCTCCTGACTCCGCCCTCAGTGAGGCCACACTGGTAGCTTCAAATCTGCCATGGTAGCAGTATTTACACCACGGAAATCAGCAAATGCTACAAATCAGGATTTCTTTCAGTAAAAGCTGGTTATCAAACATGTACCATTGGATACATGGGTATGTTTTGTAAATTTAAAAACACAGAACTCAAAAATAGCTCCTATACACAGATTTTAGCTACGTTAAAATACACATCTATACTGGGATCAGAAGCAAACTAAGGTGATGTAAACACAGCTTATGTTTGGTAGATACTTTCTCTGTAAGGTTGAGTGACTAATTTAAAACTAAATCCTTTCATAACCCTTGATATGGTTCCAACTTCTTCTAGTGCAATAGAAAATAAATGTACCATGTTAGATTCTACAAGGAAATGGCCCTGGAAGTTTGACTGGTATATACCAACTCCCAAGGTAATAGGCTATGTTGTTTGAGCTCTATTTTTTGGGTGTGAAGGGATTTGAAGTTCTTAATCCACATTGGTTTTACACTGATGATATTCATTAGAAAAGACTGCAATATGTTTTTTAGATGAAAAATAAAGATTAATTTTTCAAAACCCCCAAAGTCCAAAGGTGCACACACACCTCTGTAAGCAAACAAAAGGAAGGTCTGAAAATTCAACAAGACAAAACTTTTTAAAGTTATAAAATATCATAAAGTTATAAAATAGTCACCAGTTTTCATTCAAAAGTAGTTTAGGAGCACCTGGGTGGCTCGGTGGGTTAAGCACCTACCTTTAGCTCAGGTCATGACCCCAGGGTCCTGGGATGGAGCCCTGCATCAGGCTCCCTGCTCAGTGGGGAGTTGGCTTTGCCCTCTGTCTCCCCCCACCCCCTGCTCGCGCTCACTCTCTCTCTTTCAAATAAATAAATCTAAAAAGTAGTTTTAAAAAACCAAAACTGAATTCTCAGCATTGATTTCCAGTCTTCTTTGCTTACCTAGCAGCCTCCTGAACGTGATGCAATTTTTCGGAAAAGTTTAAAAGAACAGCATCTTTCTTTTGGGCTTCCTGGAAAAAAAAAAGCAAGAGTTTTCTCTCACTATATGTATAAAATTGGAAGGAAACAATTATCCCGAGGCTTAAAGGAACCTTAAAGTTCTTGTTTTTAATGCCTGATGTATTTAAAGCAATTCACTGGAACATGAAGTATGATATTCTTAGTAAGATTTACCAGATCTCCCCTCCCAGAACAACCAATCCCAATGTGAAATACAATTCCATGTGCACACATACTCAATGGAAGTGGGTGGTGGCTTAGCAGGGCCCATTGTTTCGAAGAGAATCCAATATATCCTGCTTAAATACCACCCATACCGATGAGTATGCCTTTAAATGACCGAGATGCTTTCAGCTGCTAAACCAGTTTGCAAACTGAGTTAATCAGAAGGTGCACAAGCCATGGAAGTGTTTGGATTCTTTACCAGTTCAGGGGATACAAGGAAGGCCGCAATCTCCAACTGTGGAAACATCCCCCGACGGGGAAGGACCAAGGTACAGGGAGCCCCTGGATACATGGATCTAAAAGGACCACCAGACTACCGGCAAGGCACACAGGCTAAGGAACACATTTTCTGGTTTTAATGCCCTGAAAGCTAACTTTTAAATTCGTCCTGAGTTCAACATGTCCTTTGTCTTCTGAGGAATGGAGTGGTAACTGTGTGTATTATTTATGGAGAGCTTCCTATGTGCCCAACACTGAAGCAAGCACTTTATGGAATCGCCCCCTCAGCCTTCTTGGTACCTGTTTTGAAGTATCACTAGCCCCATGATTAGCTGAAGAAATTGAGGGTCTTAGTGTGTAAGTCACTTGTCTGAGGAATTACAGCTAATAAAGGGCAAGTCAGAATCCTAGTTCTGTCCTGTTCTGAAGCTCACACTAGAAACAAGCCCGGCTTCCTCCCCAGCTTAAAAGCTAGATCTGTGTGACTGCTGTCAAAACAACAAAGGTGATCCAATGAAGGAAAAACAAATCAGCACAGTTCGTAATTTGAGATAATTTAACGACAGACAGATGACTGTCGATAACTGAGTTTTCACCCTGTAACTGGTTGTTTTGGTCTCACAAGACCCAGTCAGAGATGGAGGTGATGGATGGGGTGCCAACCCTGTGCTTGTGGCAAGGCACACTCACTCACGGTTCACAAAGGGAAACAAATGCAAGTGATCTTTCTCATTGCTCTGGCTCCCTCCCTCCCTACATATAACTGGTCACAAACCTAGTCAACCCAACCCCGGGAAGGTCTCAACACCCAGGCATCTGCTCTCCATCCCTGTGGCCAGGACTGATTCTCAGCTCTCACCAAATGATCAGAGCCAACTTTGGCCAAAAGGTGTTCCATTTCTAGTTTCTCTCTCCACCACTCCAGCCCATCCTCCATACCGCCTTATCTTCCTAAAAACAAAGCCAACCTGGGCATGCCGTTATTCTATGCATAAACATCCACTGGCTCACCATTGCTAAAGCATGAACCCAAATTCCTAGGTGTTTAGGATGTTAATCCTTCATAATCAGGCTTCGCCAACCCTGACCCCGGCCTCCCCCAACCCCTCCACTTCCCTCCTAACCTACAACCCTAGGCACAGCTCTGCTCAGGAATCTGCAGAGAGCTTTTGCAAGCAGAACCTTCTTGGAAAAAAAAAAAAAAAAAAAAGAACCTTCTTGGAGCCCACTACGTCCTTTCCTGTGTGATGCCACCTTAATACCTGGGAAAAACCTCCCCACCTCCAGGGAGGATTCGTACTCATTGTCTCTCTGAACTCACCACTTCCTACCTGTGCAACAAAGTGCAGAAGATTCATCCCAGGTTTGTTTGCTTTTGTGTCTGCCAATTTGAGCAAAGAAGACAGTTTAAATCCTACTGCATTGCCAGCATACCCTCCCTAAAGAAGACAAATCAAAAGAAAAAAATATATACGTATACCTTCAGATGGACAAATAAAACACAGTATTTTAATTTTTTGGAATTTTACTTACTGCATTCATGATATTCCCTGCCTGTAGCACCAAGTGTAATATTGAATGTAGCTCCTCACATGACATCAGTTCTGTCAAAAAAGAACACGCCACAGTACCTTCAGCTTAAATGCACAAAGACAACCACCCTACCCGAGTTCAAGCGGACCTGAAGCAAGCTCTGACCCACACTGTGTATAAAGACTGGAAAAAAACAAATCAAGCAGCACAGTCTGTGGTGTAGCTAACATACCATTTGCTACTGGTAATCCATGGCCTAGTGTTTAACTGAGAATCAAATATCTATGAGACATTTCAACATCATAAAATACTTCAACAAGACTTTTCAAGTAGTGGGAAGTGCAAAGGCCTTATGAAAAGCAGCACACTGTCGTTATAGGAGCAACCTTTTTCTCAGCAATAATTTTTCCCTTCATATCCACCAGCCTTTGAGATTATATTTACAGAATATGAAAACTAACAGAGAGCAACATTTTGCTTAGTCTACGAGCTATGAGGAGATAAAAAATAAACAGGCTGGGATGACATGTAAATAACTTGCAAAGCACTATAACCCTTAGGGGCCAGGCACCCAGAGAGTCTATTTTATTCAAAACTATACATTTCATTTGGATTGACTTAAAGATTATAAAAGAGCTTATCAGTGTAATATATCTTTAAACTAGTTCTTTTTTTTTTTTAAGACTTTATTTATTTATTCATGAGAGACACAGAGAGAGGCAGAGACACAGGCAGAGAGAGAAGCAGGGCCCATGCAAGGAGCCCGATGTGTGACTCGATCCCAAGACTCCAGGATCACACCCCGAGCTGAAGGCAGACACTCAACTGCTGAGCCACCCAGGCGTCCCATAAACTAGTTCTTTAAACACAGAAGCTTTTGTACACACATGTATGCAAATTAACAATATCAAAAATTGTTAAGGTATTTAAAAAGCTAAGTTTGGTGATTATTAAAATAACAGTATACATAGATAATAAAGTCACCTATGAGTTTTTTATATTCTCCATTAAGTGTGGTATTACTTTCAAAAAATTATACTGGGATCACTGGCTGCATTATGTTATCTAAGAAAGCCAGTATTTGAAGGTTAACCAGATAAGAAACGTTTCCACCGTGCCCGCAAATTTGCATGGCTCAATATGAAAACTATTCCGTCTCCATGTGAACGAGAGGAACAGCCCTTCCAAAGTGGCTGCAATAGCCCTGGTGTGTACAGAAGAAATTTTAAAAGGCCTCCCTACTGCAAGAAGAAAAACTGCCCTTAATTCTTAGTCTCCTCTCTAAACTGAAGAAAATACGATGGGCTGAAGAGCAAAACTTTATCTCCACACAGGCCAGAGCAATTAAACAGGAAAACTGAATAGGAATCAATAGTTCTATAATGACTAGAAATCCAGAAAACCACCCAGAGGAATTCAGGCTGGCACTGAACACACTGGAAAATGTGAGGGTTAGGGAGCCCCAGAGATCTGCCTTGGAGATGAGGAGTGCCCACACATGTACTTAGCCTGTTTGCTCAGTGCCATAAATGCCAGAGGGCAAAACTCCATCACTATGGAGTGAGACAGGAGAGCAACCGCAAGGAGTCTACCCAAGCTCGGTAAGCAAGTTGGCAAAGAAATGAGAATGACCCCTTGCCCCTCTCAAATGTAAATAGCCCATAAGGTGTTAGAGTAGTAAGAGGAATCAGGTGGGAGAAGACACAGAGCAGAACCACTAGGTAGGGGATCCCTGGGTGGCGCAGCGGTTTGGCGCCTGCCTTTGGCCCAGGGCCCGATCCTGGAGACCCGGGATCGAATCCCACATCGGGCTCCTGGTGCATGGAGCCTGCTTCTCCCTCTGCCTGTGTCTCTGCCTCTCTCTCTCTCTGTGTGTGACTATCATAAATAAATAAAAATTTAAAAAAAATTTAAAAAATAAAAAAATAAAATAAAACTCCAAAGGTTGGGGGTTTGTTTTCAAAAAAAAAAAAAAAAAAAAAAAAGAACCACTAGGTACCTGCAGAAAAGTCACACTGGAGATGTCCAGAAGGAGTCAGGAGGAAAGGAGGTATGCTTCTGGAAAAGGAGGTCCTAGGCACCAGAAGCCAGAGGATGGGAGGCAGCGTGCGGCTGGCCTAAGTGCCCGGGCTTGGAGCACACTCACATATACTACACACACTGCACACACACAGAAAGCTGACCTAGGAGAACAACAGGAGCCAGCTGCAACCAGGGGTTTACTCTAAAGCTTGGGATGAAAGAAATCTTTTATGGGAGAAGAATATGCTAATTAATTAATTGGTCAATTAATCAGGGAGGAAAGTAAATGGCAATAAACCTTAATTGTTATTCCAGGTAATATCTCATTTTCCTTTTTATGGTGTATCAGAATTAGGACTTTGCATTTCTCATTTCAACTGAATGGTTTTTTAAAACAAACTGCTACTGCCCGGTGGCTCAGCGGTTTAGCACCGCCTTCAGCCCAGGGCCTGATCCTGGAGACCCGGGATCGAGTCCCATGTCGGGCTCCCTGCGTGGAGCCTGCTTCTCCCTCTGCCTGTGTCTCGGCCTCTCCCTCTGTGTCTCTCATGAATAAATAAATAAAATCTTAAAAAAAAAAAAAAAAAAAAGAAAAGAAAAGAAAACTGCTACCAAATGGGTGTAGCCACTGTGGAAAATAGTATGGAGGTGCCTCAAAAAACGAAAAATAGAACTACCACATGATCTAGTAATTCCAGTACTGAGTATTTACTCCAAAGACTGAAAACAGTAACTCAAAGGGATACATGCATCCCTATATTTATTGGGGCATTATTTACAACAGCCAAAATATGGAAGCAACCCAAGTGTCCATCAATAGATGGATGGATAAGGATGATATAGTGTATATACATACAATGGAATAATACTCAGCCATCAGAGAGAATAAAATCTTGCCATTTGTAACAACATGGATGGCTCTAAAGGGTATAATGCGGGCAGCCCAGGTGGCTCAGTTGGTTAAGCAGGCTGACTTTGGCTCAGGTCATGATCCCAGGGTCCCAGGACTGAGCACCACACTGGGCTCCCTGCTCAGGGTAGAGTCTGCTTCTCCCTCTCCCTCTGCTCCCCACCCCCCCGCCTCCAGCTTGTGCTTGTTCTTGCTCAATAAATAAATAAATAAATAAATAAATAAAGAAATCTTTTAAAAAAATTAGAAGACTGCTTACTAAAAAGAATAAAACCTAAAATAAAGTGCTATCACCAAAATTAATAAAAACAAATTACATAAAGCATTATGTGAGGGATCCCTGGGTGGCTCAGCAGTTTAGTGCCGGCCTTTAAAGGCCCAGTTATGATCCTGGGGTCCCAGGATCGAGTCCCACATGGGGCTCCCAGCATGGAGCCTGCTTCTCCCTCTGCCTGTGTCTCTGCCTCTCTCTCTCTGTGTCTCTCATGAATAAATAAATAAAATCTTAAAAAACAAACAAACAAACATCATGTGTTCACATACCTTTTGTAGCAGTTTTTAGAATTGTTATGTCTGTGTATAGGGAAGAACAAGAAGGTAAAAATTCCTTCTTTAGCACCATGGCTTCAATCCGAAGTGAATAGCTGGAAAATAAAAAGCAAAACTGTAGAATTTGATGTCATTAATTTTAAAACCTTGCTCTGTAAAGAACAGAGACAGATGATCCTTACTTTGGCACCTGAATCAGGTAGTGCAGAAAGGAGTCCGCCAGGGACAACTTGGACACATCTCCACTAAATGTTTTTAATTTCTTTATCTAAAAGACAAACAGAAAAAAGGGTACAGAAGAAAATAACTTGTGATTAAAATGTAACATTATTTTAGATTTCATCTTAGATTTCCTGTAAGAAAATAAGATTTCGGTGCTAACTTCAAATTAATAAAAACGTAGACCTAAGGAGAGATGGAAAAGGAAATCATCACATCCACTATGTTGGATGAGGAGAAACCAAACAAATTAGAAGGAGAAGTGCTGCATCATGTGTCTAAGTGTAAACAATCCCAAGAACCAGAGCCACAGGAAACCTCAGGAAGTTACTAAAGGGTCAGTTCTAAGGTTGAAAATTTTCTGTAAATTATAATCTGGAAGGGAGATCACTGGGAGAAGAAAGAAGAGACTGGGTCGTCATTATAACTGGGTCCTCTAGGTCCCTAATGAATATTTTGGCTACAGGGGATCCCTGGGTGGTGCAGCAGTTTGGCGCCTGCCTTTGGCCCACGGTGCAATACTGGAGACCCAGGATCGAATCCCGTGTCGGGCTCCCTGCATGGAGCCTGCTTCTCCCTCTGCCTTGTCTCTGCCTCTCTCTCTCTCTCTCTGTGTGTGTGTGACTATCATGAATAAATAAATAAAATCTTTAAAATAAAAAAAAAAATAAAAGAATATTTTGGCTACAGAATACTCCAGACTGGGTGAGGGCTAATAGACCTTTCTGGGGCCAAGTCGTCCCCCCCCCCCCCCCACAGAATAGCTTTATAAGAAGGGGCTACTGTGTGCCGAGGAGGGTACAAATGGCTCTCCAGCAGCAAGAGAAAGAGAGAAAGAGGTGGCTTAAGTAGCTGAGGGGTTAATGTCAAGACTTCCCCTATGAAAAAGATCAGGTAATAAAACAGGATGGACAGTCAGATGTCATTTTAGAAATTTTTAAGAAGCATCCACTATGCCCCTGTCCTGTCCACGCTCCATGCACACACCACAGGCGTGGGGAAAAGACTAGAAGGACCCGCCTACACGAGCTGACAGGATTACAGGGACTATTATTTTCTACTGCTGCTCGTTTTTATTTCCTAAAATGTCTATAATGATCATGCGTTACTCTTGTAAAAAATTAAACTCAACTAAAGGGGATTCTTTCAACCGTAGCAAAGAAAAACAAAAGACTTCTGACACAGGAATACAGCCAAACAGCTAGCAGGTGGGGATGGAAGCAAAGAGAAAGTCCTCAAACTGCCATCATCAGAGCAAGTCAGTGCCTCCCTCATGCAGAAACCTGGACCAACCCGACAGCAGAAACTTTTCTACGTCTGCGGTAGTAGAGGGTCTTCTGACAAAAATACTTTATGGTAAGCAGAATCTTGGGACTATGAGTCAACCAGACCGCTTATCTCTGCAGCTGACTGCCGCCAGTTAGCCCTGACCACCTTCCAATGCTCTCTGTACTCTCTTCCATCCCCTGGATTATGGTGGGTGCCCACAAAAATAACACGACTTTTCAGTGTCTTGAAAGACAGGAAATGACAATCAGAAGCAGAGAGGAGGGAATATCTGCAAAGATTCTCCAACGGAAGTATCTACATCAACTACCTGAAAATACAAAATTTAACAGTGCAGATGCACACCCTAGACTTAACTCTGGTGCTGAAGACTACAGGTCCCCCCCTCACCCAAATGGGCAGAAAATAGCCATTTATAGAATTGCATTACTTCCTCTACTTTTAGGGCCCCAAACTGATTTTTACCATTTTTAGCCATTCTCAATGTAAGGGCAGATGGAATTTCTGGTTTAGCTAAACCCAAATCAGTGCCTCGCTGCTGAACTGAAAAAGCCATAGGATGAATCCTGATCCCTTGTGAACTAGAGTTTAGCAATTCACTATATATGGGCAGGGGCAGAGTGAGGTTGTACCTTTCATAAGACCCATCTATGCAGCATGTGCAAAGCTTCTGAAAATAACAGCATAATTTTCTGTCTAAAGCATAAGACTAGGTCATGCTAAATAAACTTGGTAGATATTTCTATTAAACATGTGCTCAACTGTAACTGAACAATGATTAATCTCCTTCACTTATATAAAGAGCTAACAATGTTTATGGATTTCAAGAGAATGGTGATGGAAAGATAGTATTTAATTTAAATGCCATGTATACAGTTCTAATTCCATTTCAAAATGAGACTTATGTTCATTAAGAGGGATTACTGTACCTTCACAGTGGTAGGGAGGTAAAAGAGAGAGGTGAGCAAACCCTATAATTATCGTGCATTCTCGTCAACATCAAAAAGCATTTATCAAACATTGTTAGGCATAATTTTGTCGGCTGAGCCAAGTGACTCTCATTAGGACCGGGCTGTGCTCGGTTTCTGTCCTAATAGCACGCAGCATGCTCCTGGAGCCTCACACATTCCAAAGTGCAGACTTCCCTCATCCCATCTAATTCCACTCACATGGCCTTGAAATAGCAAGATTTCCCACCAGTGGACTCACCCGAGAGAAGACCCTGGGGGCCCTCTTCTCTAACATTCTCCCCTCAGGGGCAGAGTCAGCAAAGAAGGTAGAGATGAGCTGATGAAAATGTCAGAGGAGGCAACCAAACTGTGGCTGGAGAGAACAGAAATTTCCTACCACCTTCCAGCCCTGCCTGTGTCCCTGACAGTGATGCAGGGATGGGGCACGGGCCCCAGCGGAGGGAAGGGCCCGCAGGCTGCGGGCGGGCTCCCTTCCACCATCCACCCAGCTCCTACTCCAGACTCCTCCTTGTCCCCTTTCTGGGGACAGGAATACTTGCTCAGGACAACGAACCCATTCCCAGGGCTTTTATTTCTGGGTCTACCTTCTTCCTCTGCAATTTTTTTTTTTTTAAGATTTTATTTACTTATTCATGAGAGACACAGAGAGAGAGAGGCAGAGACACAGGCGGAGGGAGAAGCAGGCTCCCCCTGGGGAGGCCGAGGCCGAGGCCGAGGCAGGCCTCGATCCCGGGACCCCGGGATCACGCCCCGAGGGGGAGGCAGGCGCTCAACCCTGCTCTGCGAGGCTCTCAAGGTGAACCAACGTGCCAGAGAGAAGATCTGTGGTGCAGGGCGGAGAAGCGCTGAAAACAAATTAACCTTCTGCCGGCTGGTCGCGGAGAACGCACGGCAGCAGGGGGCTGTTTCCGCTCCTCTTTTTCAACACGCTGATAAGATTACGGATCACCCTCACCCGGATCACCCTCACCCGGGGATCACACGGCTGGGGGCGGCGCGAGGGGCGGCGCGAGGCGGGGCTCCGAGAACCTCTGCCCTTCCTTCCCCGAGCGCTGCAGCGGGAGGAACCGCTCTGGGGTCACACGAGCCGCGCGCAAGCCCACCTCCCTCCCTCTCCGGCCCGCCGGCCACGCGACACTGGGGCACTTCTAGCTAAGCCGTGTGAGCCTCAGTTTCCCGGCTGCAAAGTCACCAGCATCTGCGCTGTCGCTGCGCGGAGTCGGTGCAGAAGACGCGCAAGATCATCAGAGCGAGGACTTGGTGGCTTCCCGCAGGCCACGCGCTTGGACACATCCTCTCGCTCGGCTGGATTGTGCCCTGCCCAGGGCCCGGGACACGGGGGGGGGGGGGGGGGACGGACACCCTCGATAAATGTTTAGGCCCTTCTTGTGCTAAAAATGAGCTCAGGATGTTACACAAGGCCCAGCAACACGCAGCTACGCAGACACTTGTGCACTTATTGACACGCTGCTGCCACATTCCTGAGCCTCTCTCCCTGGGCCCCGGACTCCTCGGCCTCTTCCCCAGGCTCCACCCTCTCCCCAAGCCCCTGGGGCTGGCCCCTGTAGGGCTCCCGAGGTGCGCGGCAAGGCCAGGGCATGGGCCCCCCCGCTGCGGTGGCTTAGGGAGGGGCGGCCTCGCCGGGCCTGTCAGGGTGTTCCTGTGAAGGAAGCTCCCAGCTGAGTGTGGAGGGTGTGGTGAACTGAAGCCAAGAGGCAGTAACGTAAACAAGAAGTGTGACCAAGTTTGTCGGATATTCAGAGCGAAGATGACCCTGCCGGCAGGAGGGTGACAGGAGAAGCAGCTGCGGCCTGGTTCGGAGGGGGAGCCAGTTCCCCATCCCGAGGCGGTTCCAGCCCAGCAGGCCGCGGGCTGGGGGGTCAGTGACGGGCCCAGGACTCTGGGCAGCACGCCTGGGGGGGCTTAGTCACCTTGCCCACCACGAGACATCTCCTCTTTGAATTACGACCCACCCCCCCCGCCCCCCGACACACACAACTCAGAGCTTTTTTAAACCCGGGAGCCTCCACAGCTAAGTTGCTTTGAAATATCCCTGAGTCTCCCAAAGCCTGCGCCTTCTCTAATCACCTCTGAATTTAAAATTAGAAAGGAAGATGTTAAGGAAACCGTATTTGATCGCCCACCTCTTCATGGCACGAAGCTGGCAGCCTCCCTCACGCCTAACCTCCCTTCAGTTAGAAATTTCTAAGAGCCTTTCCGAGCACGCTCCCTCGTATTATCACAATCACGTCTGATCATCACTTAAAGGAGAGAGGAGGGCAGTCAGGAGTGGGCACCAGAGCAAGCCCTAAGGAAGGGGCATGAGAAAAGCCCAAGCAGGAATAAGGTTTCGAGAACCACTCGATGTTTTTAAAATTCCAATGAATTAAACCCTATTTATCCTAAATTAAAGACTTTTGAAACTCTCATTCTCTACATTACAAAAAAAAAAAAAAAAAAAAAAGACTAAAGACTGTTAAGTATCTAAGATCCAGGGTAAATTATAATTTGATGTACCTTTCTCTCAAGACTTTAAGATCCTTTATCATCATTAATAAATGCTGGTAGTTAATCTTGGCTTAGGTAAATTACACTTAATTTGCAAACAGAAAACCTGACAGAGAGAGAGAGGTTCAGATTATCAAATATACCTAGGACACCCAGTTACCTAGTAAGACCCTTGAGTTGGCACTGTGAGTTTACCACTGATTGATGTGGAAGAGAAAGTTCAGATATATACTCCTCTTGTCATTTATGGCACTAAAATCAAATTCCATAAATTATGTGTGGGAAGAGGAGTGGGATGGGGAAGAGAGGAACCAGCAATATGGGTAAAAGGAGAACTTAAGACTTTTTACTTTGTAAGAGTCTACATTATTCAAATGTTTGTAAGCACAGGTATTCATGTTATTTCTTACTGAATTTTTTCAGGGTCTCCTTCAGAAAAAAAAAAGGCGACATTCTGGTTTGGTTTTTTTTGTTTCTGTTTTTTTCTATGAAGCTCCTAACCATTCAACAGTTTAGTTAATTCAGTCCAAAAAAAAAAAAAAAAAGATCAATAACTTTATATTGCGGTACTACATTGCTATCAAAACAATTTTTACCTTTCAGTCAATTACAGAGACATTTATTAACAATTTATTAACAGTTTACCTATCTCTCCAAAATTTTAGAGCAGCTTTATTCAAAAGTGGTTCCCTTTCATTTTTTTTGTATAAAAAGTACACATATTTATAAAATAACCTTGGTACAGCTTAGGCAAAACCCATCACTGGTGATGGAAAAGGAAACCAAAGTTTACTGAGGTCTCATGTGCCAAGAGCCATGTTCGATGCATGGCTAGGGTTTCAGCATCCTGGCAATTCGGTGAGGCAGGCACCATCATCCTCGCTGCAAAGGCGCAGAAACTAAGTTCACTGGAGTTAGGAAATTTGCCCAAGCAAGGGTACAGGTGCAGTTTTAAGCATCGACTCCCTAACTCCGCAACGAATGCTCTCTCTGCTAGGTCACTTTTTACTTTTATGTGAGAAAACTCTGGCTCTGGGTAGCAGCGTGACCTTCCCATGTGAGTTCTGACACTCTGAAAAATGTTCAGCTTTTATCACCACTCCTAATATCTAAAACTCATGTGCCAAATTCCTTACCTCCTCTGACTCCGGCAGAAGCTTCAGAAATTCTCGCAACGTCTCTGATCCATAATGCTCGCTCTTTCCTTGATGAATATCTTCTACAATGGACTGAGGAGACCTTGAAAAGGCAATAATCAGATTCCATTTCACGTTTGTTGGAGGGCCGAAGAAACACAAGTCAGTAGAAATTAAAACAAATCACCTCTATTCTTTTTCCACCCAGCCCTTCTTTCCAGTCTGAGGGATGTGACCTGCTGTGTCAGTGATCACAGGAGCCCCACTGCAGGGAAAGCGGGGATCCTGACACACCACCCAGGGGCCCCTTTTCCCAGAAGCCCATCCTCGGGCATCCCAGAAAAGCTAAATGTGACAGCAACCACTGAGAGTCTTACTGGGAGAAGAAAAGCAATCCCCTGTGGTCACATGGAAACCTGTGGAGCCTCTCCTTTCCACTTTAGAATACTGGCACTTTTTCTTTTTTTTTTCTTTTTTAAGATTGATTTATTCATGAGAGACACAGAGAGAAGGACGCCTGGGTGGTTCAGTGATTGAGCATCTGCTTTCAGCTCAGGGCGTGATCTCAGTTCTGGGATAGAGTCCTACATCGGGCTCCCTGCGAGGAGCCTGCTTCTCCCTCTGCCTATGTCTCTCATCAATAAATAAGTAAAATCTTAAAAAAAAAAAAAAAAAGAGAGAGAGAGAGAGAGAGACACACACACACACACACACACAGGCAGAGACATAGGCAGATGCTCAACCACTGAGCCGCCCAGGTGCCCCTAGAATACTGGCATTTAACCACTGCCAACCAACCAGTCCAACCTTTGCTGAGGGGCAACACTACAGATGAATTTATAAATTCCCTGGCATGGCAGGCTTGAGCAGATCCCCTCAGGCAACTGCCTGTACTTCAAGCCACCAGGTTATGTTTTCATGCAGGGAAACAGCAGAGAGTGACAGGCACTTGCATACTCATCACACCATGTGTCTAAGGAGGATATGTAGGTATGCAGAATGACTTTCGCTCATATTAGAAGCTGAATTTTCAGCTCAGCCACACCCATAGACTGATGCTGACAGCATGGATGTGACTAAAGTTGCAAATGGGTGCAAAAAACCTTACTTCTTAAATTGCTTAAGAAATATCCCAATGTTCATGCTCCGTTTTGCATCCACGATAGTAATCTGGAAAAAAACAGACACATGTAAGACTATTAAAGTGCAAATTAGAAGAGTTGGATGGAAGGAGAGAATTATAACCTATCAAAAAACAACACTATTAAAAAACAAAATAAAACACTATTTTAGAAGAGAAATATATGTAAATCTGATTATTAGTCAATACACCTAATATAGTTTTGCAAATATTAAAATATCATTTCCCCAAACTTACTGCAATGATCTATTTCCTTAGCTATAATAACTATACAGGTCTATTTTAATCTTATATAACTTTTTTTTGAGAGAGAGAGAGAGAATATGCATGTGCATAAACTGGGGGAGGGGCAGAGGAAGAGGGAGAGAGAATCCCAAGCAGGCTTCACACTCAGTGCAGGGCCCAGCCAGGGCTTAATTTCAGAACCCTGAAATCACGACCTGAACCAAAATCAAGAATCAGTCGTGGGGCACCTGCATGGCTCAGTAGGTTAGGCATCTGCCTTCAGCTCAGGTCATGATCCCAAGGTCCTGCAATCGAGCCCCATGTTGGGCTCCCTATTTAGTGGGGAGTCTGTTCCCTCTGCCTCTGTCTGCTGCTCCCCCTACTTCCGCTCTCTGTCAAATAAATACATAAAATCTTCAAAAAAAAGAGGCAGATGCTTAACTGACTGAGCCACCTAGGTGCCCCAATCTTATATAATTTTTAATGAACAATGTATATTATTTTTTTAATTTAGCAGTTTCCTCTTAGAATAACATAGCCTTTGTGTAAAAGTCCAAATTTGAAAAACAAGTGTCTTAGCATAGCCAGATCATATGGGATTTGAACTAAGAAAGTAAATAAATAACTCAAGATATTGCAGAGTCTCAACCCTGATTTAGGGATATAAGAGGACCAATACTATTATTTCGGAAATGTAATAAAATTAATTTTTTTCTAAAACAAAAATTTCTTTCCATTGAGAAAGAAAAAAAATTTATTTATGCCCTTTAGGGGGAGGTAAGAAAGTCTCCTATATTTTATTTACTCAGAATTTAAAAAGGAAAACTCTTGTGCTGTATTTCACCAAGTCTAAGACTCTTGTTAACATCTCCAGAATCAGGATGCATCTTTGATTTAAGGAAATATGGTGCCATTCTAATGTACCGGCAAAACCCAGATTTGGGCTGCAACAGGTTTTAGCTGTTCAAAATTAGTAACTGGACAGGATTTTATCAGTCTGGAAATTAGAACCTTTTTTGGCAGGGGGTGAGGAGGATGTTATTATTAAACGCAGAAGCCATTTCTTTTCTCTGGAAGGAAATATCCAAGATGCAGGGAGGAAAGATCACCTAAAAACTGCCACAGTGTGTTTTTTTTTGTTTTGTTTTCACCCATTTTTTGGTAAAGGGAGACTAGCTAAAACAGGAATGTTATGATTCTCTTCCTTTCCAAATGGATGTGATTCATTTGTGAACAAAAGAGAATTGGGTTTCAGATTAAATTCCTGTTCTCCAGGCCTTCTAAGTTTATAAGCAGCAGCATGAACTGTTAACCAAATTTAATGGCACTTCCTGACTATAAGGTTAAATTGTCACAGGACTACGGCTGCCTTCTTTTGAAGGCTAATCTTACACAATCACGTTATTTACTATCCTAGGGCTTCATCTCATGTTCCTGCAATCACCTGCCAGCCATAAAATAAACTCCCAAGTGAACAGGGCAGGCTCCTTACTGGAATCCTACCCAGTTCAAGTTTGGGGTGAAGGGAGGGGGACAATCAAACCTGTCATACCCAACACCTTTTATCGAGGAAAGCCCACACGAGACAGAGGAACCTACATTTAGTGAGACAGAAAACTATGTGTCTATTATTTAATTCATCAATTAAAAAGCCGCAAGTAAGAACACGTATACTGATATAGCGACATACTGATCCAAAGCACTTCCTCGGCACTCACGTCTACCCACAACGAAGAAGAAAACGTATTTGCTACTCGGCTCATTAAATCACCGCCTATTTGACACCTGTCACCTGTTTGACAGATAAGGAAACCGAGCCTCGCCGCATCATGTTTTATGCCTTGTCATGTTTTATACCTTCCCCAGAGTAACGTGAGAACACAAATGCTAGCCTGGGTCTTTCTGGTTCCTTCTGTCTGGTTCCTGTGAGTTTCCATGTCGCTGAGGATACAGGAGCGTAGAGCAGCGGCACTGTTCCCCCGCCAGCCGTGGACTGGTATCCACACCCATGCGTTTCTCCGGGAATGGGGGCAGCTGTGTAGACACCATCCATGGGGTCCGGCCAAGGCCTCTGGGGGCCCAGGGCTGTGTGTGCGGGACGGTGGGTAGAAATCGTTTCTCCCGGTGAAGACAGCCTCGACGAGCTGCTGTCAGGCTTGGGCAGCAGCTGCCTCCAACGCTTAGGCAGAGCTTCAGAAACTGGTCACCAGTTTACGAGGATGCAGCAATAATCCTAAGGGAAAACCTGGGCTGGCCGTCGCTGGGCACCTTACAGGGCGAACAAAGCCTCATCCTACCAACAGGAAGACGAGACTACTAATGGCGATCCGGGGACAGTCCCTCTCTCCCCACATCCTCAGGTTTGCCTAGTGCCCGGGCGGCTCGTCCTCACAGGCTCTCCCACTCGATCCTTCCAACACCAAAGCGGTGTTGCACAAGTGCTCGTTCAAGCCCTTTAAAGCGGGTTATCGTTTCACGTGTAAAGTAGCTTATCTTACTCCCCAAATGCTTGCCGTCTCAAAGCTGGGCAATTCAGGAACCCCCGGATGTGGGACCAGGTGGTGTTCTGTTTTGTCTTCTTAAGATTTTATTTATATATTTTGATAGAGAGAGAGAGAGGAGAGAGAGAGCAGCAGAGGGGAGAGGGAGGCTCAGCAGAGCCTCAAGCAGGGCTCGATCCCAACACCCCCAGACCATGACCTGGCTGAAGGCAGACGCCCAACCAACTAGGCCCCCCAAGTGCCCCCAGGTGGTGTTTGGGAATCACCCAGAGCAGTGGACTCTGCATGGGCTGGCTGCGCAGGGGGAGACAGACAGCCCCAGGGAAAAGCATGAACCAACCCGGCTCTCTCCCTGCCCGCAGGTCCAATCAACAGAAACCCACGTTTCTGGACACCGCAGGAAAGGGAGGCAGGACCCCCACTGAAGTCAGGGCCTGTCACAGCAGGTAGAGCCGGGGCACTACCCGTCACAGGCCACTGCAGAGGTACACGCCATCCCTAGCGGAAGAAGGAGCAGAATATAAGGTCATATGCTCAACTCACACCATCCAGAGGACTTCCCAGCAGGATGTGAGGTGGCCCTGCGACAGAAGCAGTCTCCCCGCGGACTGCCAGGGTGGCCAGGCTTGCTGTGCCTCCCCCTGAAGCCCTGAGACCACAGCACCCGGTCAAGGGTGTGCTGGGCTATACCACTCCTTTGGTCAAGCCTCCAAATGAGCGCGCCTAGTGTCTCCCACAATTCCTGTTCGCTCCTCTCCTAAGGAGTCACCAGTCTGCCTCCCATATTCCTTAAGGGAAGAAACAGCTCTTGTGTTTTAGCTGCGGTAAAATATACAGAACATCTGCCATCTTAACCATTTTTATTTTTTGAAGTCATCTCTACACCCAACAGAGGGCTCGAACTCATGACTCCAAGGTCAAGGGTCGACTGAGCCAGCCAGGTGTCCCCCTCCTTAACCATTTTTAAATGGTCGGTGGCATTAAGTGCATCCACATTGTTCAGTACAACCATCCCCACATCCCCCCGGTACACGCATCTACAGAGCCCTTCCCACCTTGCAGAATTGAAACCCCTTAAATTGTAAAACTCCCCGTTCCCTCCTTCCTTCAGCTCCTGGCAACCACCCTTCTACTTTCTGTTGCAAAGAATTTGACTATTCTTAGTGATGTCACATAAGTGGAATCATATTACGTTTGTCCTTTTGTGATGGGTTTATTCCACTTAGCATAACGTCCTCAAGGTAAAAGAAGAAACTTTTAACCTACTTTTGTTTCAATATGTCAAAGAGGGCTTCCTTGACTACTTAAGTACCACTGAGTAGTGGTCATTTCAATGCTACATCAAATTCAGAAAAGCAAAATTAAAAAAAAAAAAATCTTCCCATATCCTCTTATATAAGACATAGCTTTTGGTTTCTGATGTGGCTTTTTTTGTTTGTTTGTTTTCATTTTCTTTTTATTTTTGGTTGGCTGCCAATTGGGATATGCCCCAGCCTGGGTTTGGGGGAAAAAAATAAAAACCTAGTTGAAGCTTTTTTTTTTCTTCTTTCAAATGTATTTCACATGCTCATCTAGTTCTGTAGTTCTGGACTGAGTATGTCCCAGAATTCTAGAGCACACTGTGATCATAACAAAAGTTGAGAAAGAATAACCAATAACCTGAATTAGCATGGAAGAGTAAGATGTTACTTCCCAGAAATTAAAAAAAAAAAAATCTACCTTCCATCCTTCCTTCCTCTCTCTTTTTCTAATAAGCAATTTTAGTTATTTCTTACATGGTATTATTGTAAATTGTAAACATTACTACAGATACCATATTGAATGATCTCACATGTTCCAACATTTGTGCCTTTTTTCTTTTTATTTCACTTTTATTGAGGTAAATTAGCAAATAAAATTGTAAGATATTTAAGGTGTATATCATGTTATTTGACATATGTAAACATGGTGGACGGTTTCCCATCTAGTTAATTACCACATCCATCACCTCCCGGTGATCTTTTTGTCCTCCTTTTCACTGACAGCACTTAAAATTCTACTCTCTTGGGGCACTTGGGTGGCTCAGTGGTTGAGTGTCCGCCTTTGGCTCAGGTCATGACCCCGGGGTCCTGGGATCAAGTCCCACATCAGGCTCCCTGCATGGAGCCTGCTTCTCCCTCTGCCTGTGTGTCTTTCATGAATAAATAGATAAAATCTATAAAAGTAAAATAAAATTCTACTCTTAGCAAATTTCAATTCTACAACAGTGTTATCAACTGTGGTCACCATGTTTTATATTATAGCCTCAGGCCTCGTTCATATTGTGTTTTGTCAATCCCAATTTTGATCATATTGATCTATCATATTGAGAAATACTCCCTTTGCTCCCTTGGTTCAGTTCTGCCAGCTGTTAACTTTTAATTTCCTTTGGAGGATACCAATCAGCTAAGACTGTGCCTTCCTCTAAGAGCATTTCAGATTCTAGAGGGAAATAAGCACAGACCCGACTAACCAGTATGAGTGCCGAGGATGCTCTAAGGGGGCTGGGGAGCAGTGGGGAGCACATAGGGAACTTCTCAGGGATGAGATCAATGAACTCCAAAAAGAAGGTGGAGTTTGAGCTCTTTTTATTATTATCCCCAGTAATATATTTTTGTTATTTCTAATTATTTTATTGCAGTTTAATTATTATTGTCACACTTGTGACATTATTATTATTGTCTCCTCCAGTTGATTTTTAGGTATCAAAAACACAAGGATAGTCATATTTGATAACCTTTCCCTCCCTTCCCCCTTAACTAAATGTTCTAACTTGCTATATTTTGAGTGTTGTTCTTCCTAAATTACCCATTCCTGAACCCAGCTCTTCTTTATCTTCCAGCAACGTCTTTCTTTGGAGTATAATGAAACTTATTTGTAATGCTTTATAAGCCCTTTAAAGTAGGAGCCAACCACATAATGGCAGGTCATTTCTGTAAGAGGTTATTATATTTCCAGGGGACATTATCCGATCCCCGACATGTTTGAACCTCTGGAATTATGGCCTGTGGGGTAGCAGGTTGGGATGCCATGTTTCCAGGCTCAGGATAGGTCACTCTGCCAAACAGAGTATTCTCCACTCAATGTGCACAGGTGGTGAGAACCAGTACTTTCAACCCTGGATTCCATTTACTACCGAGTAAATCGGAAGATTTATTACTGGATCTTGTGAAACTATCACTCTGCTGAGTTGTAATTTCCTTAGACGAAAGTCTAATGAGGGAAGAAAATAGCATGTACTGCATTCTTTTACTGCAGGGAAAAAAAAAGTATATAATACTTCTAGCCATGTTGGGAAATAGCATGAAAAACTGAAAATAATCTGGATAACCCTGTTATGTGACAATATTACCCAATACACACTTAAATCCATCCACCTAAACCACTTATCCTACCTGAATGTTAAAGAGTTGAAAAGTTAAATTATCTTATGACACAAGGTCACGGTGATTTAATTTTCCTATCTAGTAGCTGTCTGTCAGATTAGAACCTCAAGTGTTAAAAGTAAAAATATTTGCACACCCATATTCATAGCAGCAGATTCACAATAGCTAAAAGGTGGAGGCAACCCAAATATCCATTGATGGATGACTAGATAAACAAAATGTGGTATATACATACAATGGAATATCATTCAGCCTTAAAATTCTGACACATACTACGACACGGGTGAATGTTAGGGACATTATGCAAGGTGAAATACTCCAGTCACAAAGACACATACTGCCTGATTCCACTTCTATAAGGCCACGTAGAGTGGTCAAATTCTCAGAGTCAAAGTAGAAGGGGCTGCAGGGAGGAGGGAGTGAGGCGATTTCATGGACACAATGCTGCAGTTCTGCAAGATGGGAAGAGTTCCGGGGAAGTGTGGTAGGGATGGCTGTACGACCATGTGAATGCATTTAATGACGCTGAACAGAACATTTATAAATGGTTAAGATGGCAAACGGAATGCGTATTTTATCACAATTAAAAATAATTACTTGGTTTCAGGTATTTTTTAAGGGAAAGGAAAAAAAGGTGAAGATGTATCTGGGGAGGGGAGGGGAGAGAGAGAGATGAGAGGAAGACTTTTTATTCCTGAAATTTAGATGTGGCCTAGAAATTGACATTTCTGCTTGGGCTGCACGCGGGGAAAGATGCCACACTCCCTGCTACTTCGCTCCTTCTCAGAGTGCTGCTGAACCTCCCTTGAATTAGCAGACATGAAGCTACAAGTTCCTAGTAGGCCCTTGAACTATCATTTGCCAAAATAAAGGTCTCCAATTTATAAAGGATGCCACCCGTTCTAACCTGGTAGCTGCCTCCCCAGCAGCATGGCGAGCTAGGCCCCTGTCTGTTCCAGGGGGTTTCCTGAGACTTGCGCTCTATGTCCCACTGTACCCAGCCACCCTTCCCTTCGACATTCTTGAAATTCAGTAAGTAGAGCTAGGAAACAATGGTGAGAAATGCCCTACTGTACAAGGAATCTCTGCTGGAAGCTGGGGCAAAGGCCAGGGTACTAAGGAAATGACTTCTTGCTCCTTCCAATACTGAAAGGATGCACGCTAAGAAATAAAAGGACCTTGCATAAAGGGAAGAGCAGGGAAAGCCCGAGTTCAGCAGGGGAGGGCACGAGGGACTGTCCTGAAGACTTCCGCTCAATTTTATTTCACAGTTCATGCTTGATCCTAATCCCAGCATTCTCTACATTTTATAGTTAATGGACTCTCGACTATTTCCACCACCAATTTCAAGGACCCCCAAGTGAAGTCATGGAGAGAAGTAGTTAACGTGTTCCTGAGCCAGACAGAGAAAAGAGGTCAATACTGTCAGCTTGACAAGTCAATTATGCAGACAGGCGCTACTTCATCCCAGAGCCCTGCCCACTTTCTTACCTGATCCACTCCATCTTTGACCTATTTTCTCTGCTCCTGTACAACAGATTTTAAAAATGATACATTTGTTGCTCCCCCTTTTCCTTTTTGGTGGGCAACACTCTTTCCTTCCCATCTCTAGTGTCCTAAGTACTTCTGCTAATAAGCAGAGGCCTCTCAATTTATTGTTTCTAAACAGAGTACTTTCAAATGCAATTTTTGACTCTATAGACAGTAATTGGGAGCTCTCAAGCTATGCTTTCCGTGAACCTCTTACAATCTGTTAGCTCTCCTTAGTTCTCAGTGTAAGACATTTATTGCTAACTGGGAATATGCTTCCTAGAAAATCCATCTAAAGCTAGCCTTAGGTTTTGAACTCTCTGGAATCTCTATTCCACAATGGCCACAGTTTAATTCAGAGCTCTGAGGAATGAAGGCTATCTCCTAACACTTAGGGAAGGGAAAACTAGAGGGAAAAACACGGGTAAAATCTTAAGGATGCATATTAGTTAATGGTGCATTTAACAAAGCCCATTTTGTCTCCAAAAGTTCCAGTTAATCTCAGTTTAGCTGAGTTCAGGAACTCAGGTTTTTGTTTAGACAGAGACTAATAATGTGGACTTCGGCAGAACTGCTCCACCAGGGGAAACCGCAGCAGATGTGCTGGAGACAGGGCAGTGCTGAGAGGCCAAAGAACGATGGCCCCACATAGCATGTTCTCAGCGTGAGCTCATAATCCACCGGGATGTCTGGGAGGATGTGGCATGCATGCTTCTTATGCTTTTTTGCTAGTCAGCTCAAGCTCATCATATGAGGCCCTTTTCTATTCCAGAGCACATTTACTTGCATGATCTTATGTCTTAGTGACCGAGCAACTTGTGAAATGTACACACCCTTCCAAACATACAACAACGCAGCATGCAGAGGATCATCCCTCCACGATCGATCCGTTCTTACCTCTTCCCTAGCATCCCGGAAGGATGAATTTAAAGTTCCTCCTCTCCTAGAAAGGGAAGACTTGGTAGTATCTTCTTGCTGCCCAAAGAGTTCCTCAATGGTCTTTGTATCAATCTGGTAGTGATGCTGCTGCCTGGCGGCCAAAGTCCAGATGTTGGTTTTGCCACGAACTTGCTCCTCTGGAATGGTTTTCCAAAAAAAGCTTCTCATCCGCCTTTTCTTCCCAAGGTGGCTGTAGCCGTTCATGTGAGAGGCTGGGGGTAGTCCCGGAGGGGGAGGTGGGGGCGGAGGCCCCCCAGGGAGTGGAGGTGGGGGGGGAGGAGGAGGAGAGGGAGGAAACCCCTCCCCTGAATGCAGACATGGTGGAGGTGGAGGGGGTGGAGGAGGAGGAGGGGGCGGCGGTGGTGTCTGCCCAATCATGAATCCAGCTCCTGGGCCAATAGTCCCATTTTCTTTATCGCTGACCAAGGAGACACAATTCATAACATGCATAGTACTGTTGCCTTCTAAGGAGATAATTTCTTGGCCTTGGGGAAGCAGACACAAACATCAAACTCGTGTCATACTTTTCCACTCGCTGGTCCGCTGCCAGAGAAAAAGCCAACCGTGTTGTGTGTCATCTTCCAAACCTACAGAGATAAAACAATTTTAAACCAGGCCAGGAAAATATCTGAATATTGGCTATTCCCTTCCGAGCCTAGTGCCAGTCCCCCTCGAGCGGCTGGGTATTACAATCAGTGAGAGGCAACACATCCAAAAGAGCATAAAAAGGGACTAATACTTTTCTAAACATGAACCAAACAAATTTTACTGCCTGGAAATGCTGGCAAAGCAACAGCAACAAACTCAACTTGGAAACCTTCCATTAATCAATAAAACACATATTTATTGAGAACCTGCTATAAGTTCAGCAAGTATGGCTCACTTCATGAATAAACTACTTACTTGTTCATTAACTGGCTCATTTTCTTTGGGCAATGGATACTCAACCCCCAGGGAAATTACCCAAATGGCTGAAGCATTAGGTATTAGTGTACGACCCTGCCTTTCTCCAGTATGGACATGCCCCCTACCAATCACTTGGTCAAAGGGCATCCTCTGCCTTGCATGTAATAGGGCATTTGGAAATGATAAAATAGTGACCAAACTCATTCCCCCAGAGTCAGGGCCACCATGTTCCTGCTCCCTCTGGTCACGTGGCTTCCCTGCAAATGAAAGAACACTAGATGTGAAGATTAAAGGCTGTAGCTCTAAATCCAGCTTTACTGCTTACATTTTAGACAAGTCACTTCACCTCACAAGACTTCAGTTTTGTCATTTGTAAAACTAGGAGGTTGGGATCCATTCCATGACTTCTCTCATTGCTCCCAATGCTATCATTTTAGATTCTAGTTAAGCCACTCTTCAGAAACAATCAGAACTTCATGCCTACCTCTTCTGTGACACTATTAGCAGAGAAGACACACACAATGATATGCTGCCCATATCATACCTGCCACTTGTCTACCCCTTATCCACACAGTCATTGAATTATTTTGGTGGCTTGTGTTTTCACTGGCCTTTAAATGTTTCTTCCAGTATTGAGTTGTTAGGGACTTGATGTGAAAACAGAGGTCAAAACAACTAGATTTCTTCAAATATAAGGCCAGGTTAATGAAGGATGTGGGAAAAGGGACCCCATGCAGGCTATGAAGTCAGCACCCCAACTATGTGGACATGTAGATGGTTTCCTCCAGGACATAAAGGGGCCAGATTTTTTTAGACTGGACTTCTGCACATAATAATTACCCTTTTATAGCATCACTGTCAAAGCTCACACTTAACCAACACACTTTGGTCAAACAATACTAGATTACGCAGGAGTAAACCGTCTGATAGCACTAATTCAAATACAGTGAAATTCTTTACACAGAACCACGTATAAAAGGCAAGACTGCCTTGGGAATAAAAAGTGGAGACTCCAGAAATAGGCTGTTTTTTCCTCAGATCTCAGTTCTGCTACTTTTTAGATGTGCAACCTGAGGTGAAGTAGGCTGTTGAACCTATGTCTCAGCATCCTCATCTATAATATAAAGATATATTGTTTCATTGGTTTGCATAAGAATGAACGAGCTAATACATGTACCAAGATGCCTCGTACGTAGTTCATTATTAACAATAACCAGTGTCATATATACATAGGATTTCTCTTTACTTTCACAGGTATTACATTTTCTTTAAAATACATATTGGGTTGGGACACCTGGGGGGCTCAGCAGTTTAGCGCCTGCCTTTGGCCCAGGGCATGATCCTGGAGTCCCACAGTCTCCCTCTGCCTATGTCTCTGCATCTCTCTCTCTCTCTCTCTCTCCGTCTCTCATGAATAAATAAATAAAATCTTTTAAAAAAAATACATATGTATTGCGTTTATGGATAAAATGCTAAGTTACTCTAGGCTGCTAGAAAAATCCCCTTAATAGTTCCATTCTTTACTAGTTTTGTCCTTTTTTCAGCACTCAGTGACTATGTTATTATTTTATCTCTAAATTACAAGAACAGGGGTGCCTGGGTTGTTCAGTCAGTTAAGTGTCCAATTCTTGATTTTGGCTCAGGTCACAGTCTCAGGGTTCAGAGATGGAGCCCTGCATCGGGTTCCCCACTGGGCATGGTCCAGCCGGCTTAAGAGTCTCTCTCTGCCCCTCCCCCCCATAGTAAATGAATAATAAATTGCAAATACAAATATTTTTATTAGGGCCACCTGGGTGGCTCAGCCATTGAGTGTCTGCCTTCGGCTCAGGGTGTGATCCTGGGGTCCAGGATCAAGTCCCCCATGGGGCTCCCTGTGGGGAGTCTGCTTCTCCCTCTGCCTATGTCTCTGCCTGTATCTCTCATGAATAAATAAATAAAATCCTTAAACAACTGTTTTTATGAAACATTTGAATACTTTCGAAAACTATATATGGGTAGAAGATAGCACTGCCAGCTACTAACTGGAATTTTTTTTTTTTTTTATCATTTTAGCCATGTAGAAGTGTTTATCAGTGACATTACGAACATCCGCAGCGTCGTGTAGCCATCACCACTGGAAAATTTTTTAGAAAGTAAAACTGAAATTATTTATCCAAGTCAACTTACAGCTCACTGGAGATGCAACTGACTTTTAAAAGGAGTTTTCATAATTACCATTAGGGGCATAACTAGGCTGTTTTCATAGTTGGCACCCCTTGAGCAATGACTCATTGTCAATTACAGTTTATAGTTACATTTGAACTCTTCTTTTTTCAAGACTGCACAGGAAATCTTGGCAGTTTATCCTTACATAGTTTAAAACACTTCTGTACATAAAATATCTCATGTATTGAAGAGCTGCTAATCCTCCAATTCACCTCTAACTGCAGATATGCTGACTCGTATAGATTATTCCTGTTAAGAATGGCAATAACCTTACAAAGTCCCATCCTAGAAAGCAGTAACTCACTCAGTGCTGCCTAAGTATATGCACAGATGTGCCATTAAACCTCACCGAGCAAATACGGAGATACTAAAAAGAGTGAGAAAGACTATACCTCAGGTTGTACACGAGCACTAGTTTCTAACACTAAAGCTCCAAAGGATACAAGTTGTTTTGAATATTGGGCATTGCACCAAAGTACCAGATAAAAGCTTGTCAAAGTAAAAAAGTGACATGTGTTAAGTTATGTGCCGCCGTAATTCTAACCACTGCCCCATCTTGAGAAAGGATGTTATTTTTAAAAGTTAGAAGAACAAAATAAAATTTACAACACTGTTACTGGTATGTTGTCTGGCTAATTTTTTCCCAGGGTAACAAATAAGGATCCTAGGCCCCCAACAGCTTCTAATGAATAAATCCTCCAGCAATGATTAGCTAAGATGCTAATGCTTTTACTACTGGCTTCAATAGGGCTTTGATAGGGCTTTCCCTCTGGCCAGGATTTCCAATGTCAAACAGACAGGAAAAAGAGAGTGCAGACAGACATTCTAACCCTTTCCACAGTCTCATAACATGTTAAAACAGAGGATACATAAAGAACATTTGATTTACTAAGGGTCCGGGCCCCAGTAAAGATGCAAACGCATACTCTCCAAGCGTACTAGAACACAGGTAGTGCCACAGCCCTAAAAACAACATTGCAGCCCTAAAAACGCTGTTTCTCACAGCTGCTGACTGCCAGCAGGAACAATAGAATTAGCCTTGGCTCTGTCTGGAAAATGTCAAGCGTCCCATCAATCTCTCCAGGGCAGACAGAGACAGGTTTGTATTTAACATCTCACCTATAGGTTGGGGACCTCAGCGACAGGGAGGACAGCCATGAAGGCTGACAAATGCCCAGCCCTAAGTAAAATGTAGAGCTGTCACTGGAAGGCTCTCAAGATGAGAACTTTTCAAGTCCCGGAGTGCTAATCATGACCTACCAGGGGTGTGTCTAAGTGATGGACCCTATTAGGGAAGCTGTAGCTCAACTAAGCATCTTTTTAACTATGTGAATTTTTACTAAGAGGGTGCTGGGACCAGGTCTTTGGCGTTGAGCCGATCAGCAAGCAGAAAGTCTTAGAATGCAAATGTTCCTAAGGGTCTTCAAAGAAGCCCTCTGGCCTCAACGGCCAGCACTGCTTTGCTCCAGGGGTCAGAAGCCTGAAGCTCTCTGGCTCCCTTGAAGGGAGCGGGTGGGAGGGAAGAAGAGAGAATACATAGGTTTCATTTCAAGGTGTATTTTGCAGGAAAACATGTTCCTGAAAGTCAGTTCAGTGCTCGGGATTTTCCTGAAAGAGGGTTCGTGGGACCCTGTTGCTCAGCTGGTCACTCACGCTCTAGGCCAACAATAACCAAAAGTAAACGTCAAGGAAAACCCTCCAGAAAGCTTTTCCCCTTCACTTCTGACTTGTGTCAGGGATGAGGTGGGAGCCCAAGAGCTGGCCCACACCCTGCTGACGACAATCGGGGGGCAGAGCAAGCCGGGTTTGGGGAGAAAGCGGGAGAAAACAGGGTGAGGAGAGCGCAGGCGAGTCTAAAATGGAATTCTCGCTCTCCTCCAATTCATTGGGAAAGTCCACTCCCCGACCCCGCAGCTTCCAAAACCGCTCCCGGCCATTCAGCACAGTCGGTCGGCCACGCGGCCCAACAGCCGGCGGCCTGCAGCGGGCGGCGCGGGCCCGGGGGCGCGACCCGCAGCCCCACCCCCTCCCCCGGCCGCCAGCGCAACGCCCGGGGCGCAGGGAGAAGCACGCGCGGCTTTGAACGTGCATTCTCAGTCGCTCCCAAGGTCCCCAAACCGAGGGGGAAAAAAGAAAAAAAAGCAAACGAGCGCCAAAGGATGCTCGAGAGAGGGGAGGAAGCGCTCGCTACTCCTTCCAGGACGGCACCCGAGGGTCAGCGGAGGGGTCGCAGACGGCCGAGCGCAGGGGCAACTTCTGTGCAGGCCGAGGGCAGCACACGCACCCCCAGGGCCTGCAGAAGTCGGGCGAGGGGCGCCGGGCGCACGATTTCCCTCGAGAAGTCTGGACACACCGTAGTTTCCTAGGTCTTTGCACGGGCGAGCGATCCCCCCCGGGGCCGGGGTCCTCCCCCCCCCCCGCCACTCACCCCACGGCCGCGGCTGGCGGTGCAGGAGGCTCGGGCGCCGCGTCCGCCCGGATCGCAGGGAGCGCGCCGGCTTCCGAGGCGCCGCGGGGCGGGGGCGGGGGCGGGGGCGGGGGCGCGAGGTCCCCCCGCCGCGCGTCCTTATCTGCGCCGCGGCAGGAGCGGCGGGAGCGGCGGGAGCGGCCGAGATAGGCGCCCACACGGCCGCGCGGGCTCGGCGGCGGCGGCGGCGGCGGGGCGAGGGCGCGCGCCGGGCCGGGCGGGAACCAGCGAGCCTCCGCGCCCCGGAGCGCCGAGCGCCCACCCGGCCTCGGGCAGAGCCGCGGCGCGCCCGCCCCCCCGGGGCCCCTCGGGGCGGCCGCTCGGGGCGGGCCGGGGGGAGGGGGGTCGCCCGGCCCCGCCCCGCCGCCCGGAGGACCGGCTCACGGCCCGGCCCCGCCCCGCCGCCGCCGCGCGGAGTCCAGAAGCCGGCGGGGAACGCGTCCCGGTGCTGGCGGCCGAAGCGGGGCTGTCGCGGTCCGCCGAGCCCGGCTCCGCCCCGCCCTCGAGCCTCGGCGGCGGCACCTACCCACGTCCCGGCTCTGGGTCCCGGGCGCGGCGGACGGGAGAGGCAGCCTCACGGCCGCACTGCGGCTCAGCCGAGGAGGGGCCGAGAGCCGGCAAAAAAAAAAAAAAAAAAAAAGTCGAGGAGCGACTCGTGGTGTTTGGTGGGAGGATGGAAGCGAGAGCCCGCAGTCCCCGAGCTCGCGGCCCCGCCGGCCCCGCCTCCTCCCGGGCCCCGCCGCCGAGGGCGCCGCTTCTGGTCGGCGCGCCCGGCCCGGCCGAGGGTGCAGGAGCAAGGGCCGCCCAGTCCTCGGCCCGCATCGCCCGGACGCGTCCCCGCCAACCCCGCACCCACTTTCCGGAGCGGCAAGTCGCGGCGCGCCCCGTGACCCAGCTCGTCCTCCCGACGCGGGTCCACACGCGCGGGCTCGGCCTCAGGGCACCGCTCGCCGTCCTCGCAGCCTGCGCGGCGCAGGCACCCAAGTCGCTCGCGGGGAGCGGAGGGAGCGCGCGGGCCGCCCCAGCCTCGCACGCGGGCGCGCAGGCAGCCGAGACGCGGCGCCGCAGCCCCCGCCCGCCCCCGCCCCCGCCCCCGGGGTGCCGGCTCGGGCCCACTCACCGCGGCCGGCGCTCCGCGCGCTCCCCGCTCCCCGGCGCCGGCTCCGGTGTCCGCAGCCGCGGCGGCTCGGGACCGCGAGGGGGCAGGGCGACGCGGGGCGGGGCGGGGCTCGGCCGCGGCCGCAGGTAACAATGCGGCGGACCCGCCCGCTCCCGCTCGCTCCCGGCGCCCGCCAAGGGCAGCACGCCCTTTCCTGCCCGGCCCCTTCCCCCTTCCCCTTCCCCTTTCCCCTCCCGGCCTCCCGGCCTCCCGGCCTCCCGGCCTCCGAGCGGCGGCGGCGGCGCGGCGGCGCTCACCTGCGCCCACCGGGGCCCGGGGGCCCGAAGCCGCCGCCCGCACGCCGCTCCCCGCACCCGGAGGCCCCGAGGGCGGCAGGGGCGGCGGGAACCCGACAGGTACGTGTGTGGAGAAGACCAGGTGTCCTCGTGCCAGCAGCGCGGGCACGCGCCGCGCCGGAGCCCGCAGGTGCTTCCCACCTGGCGGCCTCTCCGCAACCTCCCCGCCACCCTTCCCCGCGCGCGCGCGCACTCGGGCACGCACCCCCCCGCGCGCGCACTCGGGCACGCACACACACCCCGCGCGCACACTCGGGCACGTGCACACACACCCCGCGCGCACACTCGGGCACGCACACCCCCTCCGCGCGCACACTCGGGCACGCACCCCCCCTCCGCGCGCGCACTCGGGCACGTGCACACACACCCCGCGCGCACCCTCGGGCACGCACACCCCCTCCGCGCGCACACTCGGGCACGCACACACCCCCCGCGCGCACACTCGGGCACGCACCCCCCCTCCGCGCGCACACTCGGGCACGCACCCCCCTCCGCGCGCACACTCGGGCACGTGCACACACACCCCGCGCGCACCCTCGGGCACGCACCCCCCCTCCGCGCGCACACTCGGGCACGTGCACACACACCCCGCGCGCACCCTCGGGCACGCACCCCCCTCCGCGCGCACCCTCGGGCACGCACACCCCCTCCGCGCGCACACTCGGGCACGTGCACACACACCCCGCGCGCACACTCGGGCACGCACACACCCCTCCGCGCGCACACTCGGGCACGCACACCCCCTCCGCGCGCACACTCGGGCACGCACACCCCCTTCGCGCGCACACTCCGGCACGCACCCCCCCCTCCGCACTCTCGGACACGTGCACACACACCCCGCGCGCACCCTCGGACACGCGCACACGCGCACACACAGGCGCGCGCCGGGCCCCCCTGCGCCCCACGCTGGCGTCGCCCCGGGCAGCGTTCGGGGGCCCGTCCCGGTCCCTAGAAGCCGAGTCCCGGCCGAGCGGGGGCTCCCCAGATGGCGGCTCCTGCCTGGGTGCTGCCAACCTGTAGGTTTGTTACTTACTTTTCGTTTGTCTTAGATCCCCTCAGTGAGGATGGTTAACGGGACCCTCCCGGTTATAGTGAAGCAAAGCACAAGGTCCAGCGGAAGCCCGACCGCGTGAACGGACGCTGCCTGCGAAAGAGCCCTCCCGGGAGACGGGAGACGGGAGACGGAGAGGAGTGCGGTCGCATCTACCCCCCGAGTGACTTGTGAAGGCAGCCGGTGAGAAACCGGAGGCAAAGAAGAGCCTTCCCTGGGCCAAGCAGCCTATGGGAAGTCAGCTGCAGGGGCGGGGAGGCGCCCTGCGCGGGGATGAAGTCATCCTTACCTTTGACTCGGTTCGCAGATAACAGACCACAGTTTTCCAGCCTCCGGTGCCTATGACTCTTGTCTCTCCACCCTGGTCTTCAACCCCTGAACTCCCACAACTGGTCCTCCAAGGAGATGGAAAGAGCGAAGCCAAAACAAAAACACAGTAAACAAAAACCGAAATCCATGCCAGCCAACAGCCCGTTGAGTAGCCGTTGAACAGGCTTGTGCTGCAATGAGGAGCAGATCCCACCGAGACCACAGAAAACCTCAAGGAGTGGGAAATGTAGTAAAAGAGAACGCTCCATGCTCAGGGAGTTCATATTAATTCCAAAGGAATATGGCCCACACAGGCAGAAGTTTAATTAAGGGATTTCGAGGGGATCCCTGGGTTGGCTCAGTGGTTTAGCGCTGCTTTCAGCCCAGGGCCTAATCCTAGAGACCCAGGATCGAGTCCCACATCGGGCTCCCTGCATGGAGCCTGCTTCTCCCTCTGCCTGTGTCTCTATCTCTCTGGGTCTCTCATGAATAAGTAAATAAAATCTTACAAAAAAAAGGGGGGGGGATTTCAAAATTGAGGAGTAGCAGGGTCTCCTCTCCTTCTGTGTAGGCCTGGCTAGATGAAAGGTCTACACCCGCTGCACACTTATTGCTCTTCGACACCCCCCTCCACCTAGGCTTCCCCCACACTGTACAAAGTATGCACTTTCAAATCAGCCACTTTTCTGAAGAGTCAAATCCAGTGACCCTTCCTCAACCCCGAGTCTTTGTGAGTCTTTTTGATCTCCATGCAGCATCCTGGCCTACAGGCCTTCCCTCTGTCCCTCTGGCCTCCTCTGCTGACCCCTTTGGTCCTTCAGAGGACAGTAACTGGGTTCTTCTAAGTCTATCTCCCATTATCCCATGGGTTCCGCCTTCTGATTTGAACCGGGAAGGGTCCAGATCTTATAGGGCCTGAAGCTTATAGAACTCTTGAGGGAGCTTTTTAAAGAAAAACAATAACTTCAAACACAACGCTAGATGTGTGTCTTTGGACTTACTTGTCCAGGAGAGTGAGGGGCAGGAAAACTTGAGCTGCCAGGCAAATCCACTTCTGATTTTACCTCTAGGTCAGCGACTTTTTTTTTTTTTTTAAGATTTTATCCATTTTTTCATGAGAGACACACAGAGAGAGGCAGAGGGAGAAGCAGGCTCCCTGCAGAGAGCCCAATGTGGGACTTATCCCAGGACCACTGAGTCACCCAGGGGTCCCTAGGACAGCAACTCTTAAATCCATATGGTCTCTGGTCCAAATTCAATATCCAAGCGTCAACTCATCTCTTCAAACAAGCACTTTTCTGGGATCCCTGGGTGGCTCAGCGGTTGAGTGCCTGCCTTCGGCCCAGGGCGTGATCCTGGGATTCCAGGATCAAGTCCCACATCAGGCTCCTTGCATGGAGCCTACTTCTCCCTCTGCCTGTGTCTCTGCCTCACTCTCTCTGTGTCTCTCATGAATAAATAAATACAATTAAAAAAAAAAAACTAGCACTTTTCCTACCCACACCTCTTATTTAAGACCTGAGTTTTAGGGATCCCTGGGTGGCGCAGCGGTTTGGCGCCTGCCTTTGGCCCAGGGCGCGATCCTGGAAACCCGGGATCGAATCCCACGTCGGGCTTCCGGTGCATGGAGCCTGCTTCTCCCTCTGCCTGTGTCTCTGCCTCTCTCTCTCTCTGTGACTATCATAAATAAAATTAAAAAAAAAAAAAAAAAGACCTGAGTTTTAAAATTTGAAATCCCAGCTTTCCTCCGGGTCTTTTTCTCTGAGTTCCTTATATCTAAGTATTCACCAAACTCGTTGCTCTTTCCGCAAGTCCTGTCTCTTACATCTCTGCTTTATATCCACATCCATTCACCTCAATTAGAGGAAGGGGGAGCTGATAATTACTTGCTGTTGGTCATGTGTCAGGCATCACATTTGATTCTCACACCAACTCTAGAAACCCACCATTCTATATCTTCTAGATTAGAACAGTTCAGTTGGACCTCTGTGTCTACCGTCTCCTCCTCTTTCCTCCCGGACTCTGCTATCAGACCAGGGTTTTTGAAAGTCTGATTTCAGGGCACCTGGGGGGCTCAGTGGTTGAGCAGATATCTGCCTTTGGCTCAGGTTGAGATCCCCGGGTCCTGGGATGGAGTCCCGCATGGGGCTCCCCGCAGGGAGCCTGCTTCTCCCTCTGCCTGTGTCTCTGCCTCTCTTTCTGTGTCTCTCATGAATACATAAGGTCTATAAAGAAAAAAAAATTCTGATTTCATCACATTACCTACCTGTTGAAAGCATCCGTAAGCGCAGATACGTGCCTACAGGAAGAAAGTGGCAATCTTCAGCCTGACACTGGCTGCATGTTACCACCTTAGGTGGCCAAAAAGTAGTTGAGAGGCGCAGAGCACAGCTCTCAAATAGAGTCAGTGTCTCTACGGATCTGAATCTAAGGCTGTAAATCTAAAGGACACTTTGTTCATCAACTCTTAATACGCGGATTGGTACCCCCCATCTCACCTGAGTTTGTGCTTGGGACCTAAGGTCCCCTGCTTGTCTGTGTCCGGGAAATACCAGCAGCTCTGTCTGGGAGGAAGGCCAGCAAGATGCCTCAAGCCAAGGGTGCCCAAAGTCAGCCAAGCCCCTGGAATCTGTGACCTAGAGGAAGCTGCTGCTGGGACCCCAGGGGTGCCTGAGCAGCAGCCAGTGTGGCCAGTGTGCACTTTTCCAAGCCAGCCAAACCTCTTGGGAGTGCGTTTGTATCTTTGTGTGGCCTAGGCCATGGGCCCCACGGGTGCCAGCGCCAACCCCAGCCGAAGAACTTCTCCATCTGCAGCTTGTCTTCCCTCTTCCCAGACTGTCCTTGCCAGATTGCTCCTTTTCCTTTGCCCAGTTCATCTTCTCTCTTCTGGCTTCACTTCTTCAGCCCCGAGAAGCTTTTAGTATTTTCTACATCAAGCATTTTGTATTCGAATCTGTCATTAGGAGCTACTAAACAAAAGCTTCAAACCAAAATAAGTAAAATTTCAGAATCCATCCTAAAAAATACCTCACAATTCTAAAACAGACTTATTTGCTTAAGGAATAGGTCTAAGGCGTGAGCTGACTTCATGGGCCCTCTAAGGAACCGCAATTCATCCACAGAAATAAGTCCCGTCTGGCACAGGATTGAGGCATCCAACTGATTTTTAAATCTCTCTCGGTGATGCAGACTGAAACTTCTTACTCTTTGTTCTTGTTAAAACGTATCTTGTTTTTTTAAAATATTTTATTTATTTATTCATGAGAGACACACACAGAGAGAGAGAGAGAGGGGCAGAGACATAGGCAGAGAGAGAGAAACAGGCTCCATGCTGGGAGCCCGATGTGGGACTCGATCCGGGATTCCAGAATCACGCCCTGGGCTGAAGGCAGGGGCTAAACCGCTGAGCCGCCCAGGTGTCCCAAAACGTATCTTGTTAAAACATATCTGATGAGATCAGCTGTTCAGTATTTAGATTATAGGCTGTATCTTTGCTCTTAAAATTGGAAACTGCAAAAGAAACTATACCAACTTTATAAACAGGTTTGCAGACAAACGCAAAGACGCACCATGACTTCTAATGACAGCCATTTCTTTTCTTTTTTTTTTTTTTTTAAGTTTTTATTTTGGGGCAGCCTGGGTGGCTCAGCGGTTTAGTGCCAACTTTAGCCCAGGGTGTGATCCTGGAGACCCGAGATCGAGGCCCACGTCGGGCTCCCTGCATGGAGCCTGCTTCTCTCTCTGCTTGTGTCTCTGCCTCTGTCTCTCTCTCTGTGTGTGTCTCTCATGAATAAATAAATAAAATATTTTTAAAAAATAAAGATTTTATTTTAAATTTTAAAAAATCTTAAAAAAAAATGGGGATCCCTGGTGGCTTAGCGGTTTGGCGCCTGCCTTTGGCCCAGGGCATGATCCTGGAGTCCCGGGATTGAGTTCCCCGCTGGGCTCCCGGCATGGAGCCTGCGTCTCCCTCTGCCTGTGTCTCTGCCTCTTTCTCTCTGTCTATCATAAATAAATTTTTTAAAAATCTAAAGAAAAAAAGGATTTTATTTATTCATGAGAAAGAGAGAGAGAGGCAGAGACACAAGCAGGGGGCCTGATGTGGGACTCGATCCCAAGACCCCAAAATCACACCCTGGGCCCAAGGCAGGCGCTAAACCGCTGAGCCACCCAAGGATCCCGCAATGACAGCCATTTCTAAAAGAAATTGCTAGACCTCCTTGTTCCCTTTAAAGGTTAAAAAGTATAAAATCAATAAAATCAACAAAATCAACAGAATTGCTGTTGTCACTATGAATGCAAATTCTCATCAAGTATCTGACAAAATGCAGACACTGGATTGCTCTTGTTTTTTTTTTATGACCCTTTTTTTTTTAATTTTTATTTATTTATTTATGATAGTCAGGGAGAGAGAGAGAGAGAGGCAGAGACACAGGCAGAGGGAGAAGCAGGCTCCATGCACCGGGAGCCCGATGTGGGATTCGATCCCAGGTCTCCAGGATCGTGCCCTGGGCCAAAGGCAGGCGCTAAACTGCTGCACCACCCAGGGATCCCTCAGTTTTCTAAACAACTTTATACTGAGAAAATGATGTTTTCTTTTTTGCAGGCTAAGAAATGTAAATAGTAAGTTGCCTTGAAGTATAGTACACAATGACTAGGCTCTGATCATTAAGGGGGAGAAACTTTTTTCTGGGTGCTAAGTTGTAATTTCTGAAAATTTTAAGTAGAAAATGCTTTCACGGGTAGGGGTACCTGGCTGGCTCAGTCAGGAGTCTGACTCT